CCTTTAGTTATCTGACTCAGAGTCGTCATCTGTGAGCCCTTCCTCACTTTGTTTTTTGTATATTTTGGAATTGTGATATTTTAAAATATCTTCGCCAAAATCCACAGAAAAGCATGTTTGATTGCTAGTTTTCAAATAATTTTTAGTGTGCAAGTTACCTACTATTGATACACTCGAAAGGCGATTTCGATGAGTAGTTTTCATGAGATTAACTTGTGAAAATGTGCGTTCCACATTCGCAGATGAATGTGGTAAGGACAGCATATTAAATGCAAAAGTTGAAAGTAGAGGAAACATAAACGAGTCATCTCCATATTGAATTTTGCTAATTTTTGCCCAAAATTCTTCTGCATTTATATTGCTAGGAAAATCTTTTAAAATTTCATTACTTCTAAGCAAGCGCCATTCATTGTCTATCGGTTGAATTTGATTTTCATTAACTAAATTAGGAAAATGTTTTGCCAAGGGAATGACACTAGGTGGTTTTTCATTAATTATTGTTGCAGGGTCAATTAATTTCATGTTAATTAACACCTCATTGTTAAAATCAAATCTCTTGCATATCTGGTGTGCACTTTCTACAAAAAACTCTAAACATCTTTTCCTTAAAGTTAAATTAGAATCTCTATCTAACATTAGTAGAGGTATCTTAGCCCCTAAATAAAGTTCTTCTAGTGGTAAAAAGTTTCCGGGATCTCTATAATTAATAGCTTTTAAGGGTTGTGACTCGATAACGTCTCTTTTGATAAAATATTCTAGTAAAACCTTGTAACTTGAGCTAATAGAACTATATAAACTATGTATTTTGGGCTTTTCTGCCTGCATTTCTCTATTTAGGTTATTAAAAAGGGGCAAAACAAATTGTAGAAACAGTAAAAATGCTTTTGTCAGTGGATCTTTCAAATCATTTAAAATATTTTGAGCAGCTAAAACTCCTTCAGACATAGCGGCATCAGTGAAAAATAAAACAAGAGCATTATATTGCTCTAGAATTCTGTTGACAGCACTTTCTAGACTTAGCCACCTTGTTTGAGAAGGTTGTAGGATCTTGTGTATAGGGGTTTCCGTAAATGTTTGAAACTCTTTGAGGGTATCAATACGTTTCGGGCTGTTCGAGAAAAAATTATATACATTTCGAACCAAGTCTTCGGCACGCCTAGGTAATTTTGAGCACGCATTTGATGCACATAAACTAAAACTGTGGCATATACATTTGAGTGTGAACAAGTTTTGTATTTGTGCTTGTAGTTTTGTAGTTAATGAATTGAGTCTACCGACCATCACGCTGGCACCATCCGAGGCAAAACCGATTAAATTATTTCGCCAGGGAATCCCATTGTTATCGAAAAAACGGACTATTTTTTCGTGAAGATCATCTGCTGTAGCTCCTTGGAGGGGTATCAAGGCCAGAAAACTGTCAGTAACTCTAAAAAACAAAAACATAATCAGAAAGTATATTTTTTATATTTTCTTGTTATATCTGTTTGAAAAGGGCGATCCCTTTATAGTTAAATTGACTAACTTTCATATGAAATTAAACACAATTAGAACTGATATAATTTTCGTTAAACTTACTTGTCAACTTGGCGATATCTACTTATTAAACATAAATGCTTTGTGCAGCCTCTATCCGTAGATTCGTCAACAATTAACGAAAATTTCGTGCTTTTTAAAATAGCACACAAGTTATCTAATTGTCTTTTTCCAATTACTTTGTTTACTATGGCGGAACATTTTGTTGGTTTACATTTAATATTTCTTGCTACTTCTGAATCGGGGCATATTTTGGGAAGAAGTTGTACGAAATGGTTCATTATATTGTAGGATAAATTATGTTCCGAGACAAAAGCTGCTATGTGCATTTCAGATTTTTTTGTCGTTTTCTCCAAATTGCTAAACTTTTTAAAAGATGCTAATGTTTGCTGGCCTTTTACAGATTTCAAACTTGTTCTGTGTCTTTCGCTGGCAATATGCCTTACTAGGGCCTGCTTTCCCGTTGTTTTGACTGATATATTTTTCTTGCAAGCTTTACAGTAGGCACTATTTTCTTCCCCTTGCTCTAACCAGCCTTTGAAATCGGGATCATTTAGCCACGTTTTATTAAACTTTTGCGAATATTTAATTTTCTTGCTTCCCGAGGGAATTTCGCTTCCAGAATCATCAGATTCTGATTCATGTTCTCTCCTAAAATGAAATTACTTCTTTTGTTTTCAACCTATAATAATAAATATAGTAACTTACCTCATTTTATTTGAATTTCACCTCAATAAACTTCACCAAATATCAATAATTAATCAAAATGTCTTTCTCTCACTTAATATTTGGGTTTTGGGTACTACAATCGAAACTCTTTGAAATCGGGGAATCACCATAAATCTATGGGAATCACCATATCACCAAGTTTACACAGAAAACAGCGGACAGCTGACTAAAGTGCCATCTGATTGAGGATAATGCAACTCTGCAACACCTGTAGGCTGTAGGGGCCCGCAACGGCGATTTGAGTAACTTTCGAAAATAAGCGCTAGATGGCGGTGGGAAATACGATACGATGTAGTATTTAATTCAATCTTGCTTTACAGAACCAGTTTTGCACAAAAGCACTTGCTATTGTGACTTGTTTTTTTAATTTTTACTTAAGTTTTTTTTATACTTTACTTGACTTGATTATTTCAGTAGATTTAAGAATGAAATCAGTAGATCAGTAGACGGAACCCTAAATCAGTAGATCTACTGATTTTTCAGTAGATCTGGGAACACTGAGAACAACATGGGAAGAGTATGCAAAGTTGAAGAAAAGCCATTTATGTTTTGGATTTATTACATGATTAGAATTATAAGTAAAAATATAAACTAGCCCCTAAAGAGTGAAAAATGAGGTGGGCAGCCATATTTTTAGTACTTACATCAACAGAAGTCTTCTCAAAGCAATGGATTGATCCCCATGACATGAACACCAACGCTAAAGAAAAACTGAGGGAAACATTAGGTGAAAAACAAGTAGCTCACATTACTGTTGATCAGTGTAACTGCTCAGAACAAAAATTACCTGATGACACCTCATTATTATATTTGAAACGAATGATTGCCTTAATGGTGAACTCTGCTACATTAGATGAAGATTCAGGCGTAAACAAGGGGAAGTTCAACATACATGGAAGTGACTATCAGTTTCTTAAGAAGTTTTCTGAGAGGAAGTATGCCACCCAAGATGATCTACAAAAACTAGATGGCATTTTGAGCAGTATGTTCACAAAAAGTACTTCAGATGAAGCATTTGAGTCTTTACTTTCTGCAAAAGAAAAGTTTTTACATCTTGTGCTGAGTCATGATACTTTAGTACTTGTAGGAGTACTTGTATGTTTATATGTGGCTGTAAATATGTTGAGGTCTCAATATACAGTTCGAGAAGTGATCTGCTATTTTTGCTTAATGATTTTAATCATAGACTATGGCTTCAGATATAAAACATTGAGAGAGGTACACTTATTGATCAGGTTTGTGGTTGTATAATAATTTAAGATGCTTGTTTGTTCTTTAGGAGGCTGAAGAACATAATATGGGTATAAAATATACAAGTAAATGTGATACAAGTCAGATGAGTTGGAAACAGTGGTTACTTGGGGGTAAGTAATTCCTACATTATAGTGGATTGACAGTGTTCAAAATGAACTTTATTGTTGAAATCATGCAATTTTTCAAGTAATAAGTTGTATAATTGAGTACATCAATATATGTATCATCAAAGTTAAAGAATGTTAATACTTCTTGGAAAAAATAACTTGTTATTTTTGTTTGTTGATTTTTTATACACACTTTTATATTCTCTATGTGCTTCTCAACTTTTAACAAGGCTTGTAAAATTGTATCATCAGGTCCATAATCAGTAAATTGTAAGAAATTTGTGACAGTTTTAATTGCACAAAGTGCTTCAGAATAACTTGGAATTGGTTTGTTCACTTGTCCATCATCATCGCTGCTTTCATTATTGGAAGTTAGATCATTTGTTGAATAGTTGGACTCTACAACTTCAGTAATAATGTCACAATCTGTTAAGGTCTCCATTGCTACCAAATTATCGTCAATGGTCGTAAAATTATCTAGTTCAGGATATTTTTCCACAGTAGTTACGTCTGGGCAGTGACGTCGCAAACCAATCACTGAGGGAATGTTCCAATCATCAACACTTTTTTATTTCTCATACCACTAATTCAGAGGCAAGTCATCATCTGAATCAATCTCATCGATCGATTTCACTAGACCAGCATGCTGAAAGCAGTTTTTTTGAAACTTCATTCCAATTAATTTTATCGAGTCTAAAATTATGTTGAAAGTTGCCTCATTATACTATGCTCGGATTAGGCGATACATAAAATATCAACGATAATATATTTTAAGACATTTTATTATGCCTTGATCCATCGGTTGTATGACCGAGGTGCAATTGGGAGGCAAAACTACTAGTCTGATATTTGTCAGATCTACATTCTTAGGATGAGCTGCACAATTGTCAACTAGAAGCAATATTTTTCTTTTTTGACGTCATAGTTTTTCATCTCATTCCTTTAAATAATTAATAAAAATGTCTGAACTCATCCATGCGCGTCTGTTCGATTTCTAAATGACAGGCTATTATTTAATATTTTTCATGCACTTCGGTCGTTCGTATTTACCAATAACAAAAAGTTTGCATTTTTCACTACCTGTCATGTGGCAATCCAAAACGGTGTATTTCAACTTTGTTTTTTTGCCTCCGACAGACTTATCTCCTATAAATTTCAGTGTAGGGTCTGGAGTCATCTTGTAAAATAGCCCGGTTTCGTCCGCCTTAAAAATATCCTTATATCTGTAATTTTGCGCAATGCCTGGCCATTTATCCGTTAACCAGTTCACCACAGCTTCCCTTGTTAACATCTCCTGCTTCACAAGACACTTTGCCAACCCATAGTGCACCTAAAATCGCCACCGTGTAATCGCTTTTGCTTTTAAAATTTGACCACTTATAAGAATATTTTCGGTTCTTCGCGTCTCAAACCATCGTATACGAGCTTGATCCACATCTGAACATACAGGATTTCTAATTTTCTTAATTCTCTGCGATTTCTATTCGCTTGCTTGCTTGATTTTGATTTGCACCAAATTGTAGAAACTGGTGTTTTTGCCATATTTTTCCTTCTCGCAGATTCCGATTTGCCGATGCCACTCTTGATATTTTTAATGATGTCTATCTTTTCTTTCAAACTTATAGCTTTGCGTGTATTTGTCATTTTAAGAAAACAATAAATACTAAAAACTCGCTCAGTTAAATGCAACGTCCAATCTAAAACTACCCGACATGTCATTCCGCGCTATAAAAATTCCCAGCGTCGATTACTGGAAATCCCCGGTGCCGCGCCGGCGGCATTCTTACCAACGCGCGACAGCGGTGAAACTTCCCAGTATCGATTAATGAGAATACCCGACAGAGGCGGAGAATTACTCTGTTTATAACTTACGTTTGTACGTTATAACCAGAATATGACTACTAAGTGGGTAAAAAATATTTTATGGTATAGCCGCTATATCAATGAAATAAGTACGTAATAACCGGAAGTACGTTATATCCCATGTACGTATAGACAGAGTACACTGTATTACTTTTCACTGCCTTTTTGCCAGCACCATTTTACATTGCTTAAATTTTCCATATATGCCTTGTGACTGTGAAAGAGTTCAAAGCCTTGGTATTATTTGGTGTACTGCCAACATTTTGGTGCTACTGGGCTAATTTCCAAGGACTAAAAACCTTTTTCATTATAGCCTTAGTGCAAATGTAAATCTTCAAATCATGAGTTGTACTTTTTGCTTATAGAGGAATTAAGTACTTTTGGTCTGTTAATTTAAAGCAGTCTTCCATTATTTTGATTGACATGTTAAAAAATCATCGCAAAAGTAATCTCAAACTTGGCAATGCCATTTTTTGTGTAAAAACACTTCCAAAAGCTAGAGTCATCCAATGCTACCACTGACAATTTAGTACTTTTACTTGAACAGTAACAAACAATATTTAATCAGACTTTTTCTAAAGATTTTTTTATGATTATCTATCAGGACTAACTCTTGTTAATTTTGAAGGTAACAAAAACTGTGAGAAGAAAGTAGTATCGCCCTTAGAGGTGCTCTTATTACAAGTGAAGCATGTTATAGTCATACCAGGAACAGCATGTGGAACAGCATTTGGGGGATTTGCTAATGAAATGTGGAGTGAGTTTAATTTTTTTTATTTTTATGAAATCGGGCCATTTCACTAACACTCTATCCTTGTTATTTCTAGCTCAACTGCCATTTCCTTGGAATATGTTGATATTCCCAGCACTACTCCTTTTTGTCATATTACTAATAGCAGTGATACTGACAGTGACAAACAATCAGTCATTCTGCATCAAACTTATGCATCTGTTCCACATAGAGTTTGGTAGCAGAGATAAGGGGGATAGTCGGCTAGCTGGAAGGGAACTCAATGCATTTCTGGAGGGCATGAAATCCAAAGCTGCTTTGGAGGATTCTAGGCAAAGGTAGGAATGGGTTTGTATGCTGTTGGGGCTTCTAATGTGGCAGTATTTTGTAGTTATGCTTGAGTAATATTTGAGGATACCAACCATATACCAATACTTTTTTCTCAATTGATCACACCATTCCTTGGATTTGTAGTATTTCTACTGTACCTTAATCAAACGTTTGGCCAATTTATGGTGATCAGGCAGATTTGAGAACAAGATGAATTAGATATTGGTTAAAAAAAATCATAACTCTTTATTCTACAGGAAATTGTATGAATTATCAACATTTAAATAAGACTTATTTTTTGTTCTAAACGACAGAATCACTGGATCAAGTCGGATATTTTGTGTTGTTTTGATTACTTAGTTAATTTTCTGCATATTATGTTAAGTTGTGACCTAATTTAACTGTTTTGTGAATCCGAGGATCATCTGAAGGGTCACAGCTTTGGATTCATGTAATAGTTAAAGATATATAGGATGAGTGGAAGAAATTCTGATGGAAAAGTGTATCCAAAGCAGCATAAATACATGGTGTCCAGTGGGAAAGATCACATTTTAAATTTGAATTACGCGGCAACCGTATACGCGAGGAAGTGAGGAGAGGTCTTGATCGACGCGTTCGGCGTGCGGGCTAAATAGTCACAATGGAACGTTGGACCGGAGCGCAACGTGCTTTTGCTATCGACGCTTACTTTAAGAGTGGTGATTCATACGCAGCTGCCCTTCGGAAATTTTGTACACGATACAACATTCGCCGACCAAGAGATGCCCCAAGTAAGAACCTATTGAAAAAGTGGATTAAGAGGTTCCGTGAAACAGGCTCTACTCTTAGTCAACTCATTCATGGCCCCACTCGTACTGTATCGGCCGAAGAAAATGTACGTCGAGTAAGTTAAGTCATCGCAAATCCTCGGCGTTCTGTACGGAAGCATTCCGCTGCTTTGGGAATCCCTAGGTCAACACTGCTTGGCATAATGAAGAAAAAAAATGGGTTTTTATCCTTATAAAATCCAATCAGTCGATGCTTTAAAGGAAAGTGATTACGTATTATGGAAATCTTGTGCTGAACGGATGTTGAATCTTTTTCGTACGCAGCGCAGACACGAGAACGTTGTTTTCAGTAACGAGGCCCATTTTCACTCAGACGGTTATGTGAACAAGCAAAATTGCAGATAGTGGGCACCAACGAACCCAAAAGAGAAACATCAACAACAGCTAAATAGTCCAAAGGTGACCGTTTGGTGCGCCATATCCTCTAGCGGTATAATTGGGCCGTATTTCGTTGAAGATGAAAACGGTCATGCATTGACAGTCAATTCCGAGCAATACAAGGACATGATTGACACGTTTTTTTGCTCCTATTGTAAGAACAGAAACACATGGTTTCAACAGGATGGGGCAACTGTCCATATTTCCAGAGAATCGAAGAATATGGTGAAAGCACTTCTTTCTCAAAAAGTTATATCGAAGTTTGAGGACATTCACTGGCCTAGGTCACCCGACCTCACGCCATGCGATTATTTTTTGTGGGGTTATCTAAAGTCAAAAGTATATTCTAATATTCCACGAACACTGGAGGAGCTTAAAGACAATATTCGATTAGAAATAAACAACATCACTCCGGAACTCTGCAAGGGAGTGTTTCAGAATTTACGCGCGCGCGATTATATTTAAGAAATAAAACCCGCAGAATTTACGAATATGTTGATAGTAATAAATATTTTCTTTTCATGAAGTTTGTATTTTTTTTCTTAAATCAAAAAGTGAACTTTCCTACTGGGCTCTGTATATGCCGCTCACACATAACTATGATAAGCATAGGATACAAATGCATCATATTAAAGAAACGCATGGAATTCTAATAAGTATAAGATGAAATCTTTCGGTTGTAGCCTTATCTTGGATTTTGACAATGTGAGGATATTTGATATTACCAACACTCTGATGTACCTTTTTTAACTAAACAGACATCTAAACTTTTTCCCGCACTGTATTTTCGAGATGACTGCTCCCATTTATATGATGAGCTTTTGTCTTTGGGCAGTAACATACAATAATAGGTTTTCCTTACCGCATCTGCAGTTTAGTATGTGCAGTTCAATATTTACTCTACTAATCCAAGCATCCATGAGGTACGGTACACCCTTAAAAATGTGAATCATATTTTTTGTGCTGGAATGGATTGATATGGAGTATGAACGATTTGTCAATTAACATTCATTTCCTTGGAGCGCTCCCGGGTTAATACGAGGAAGAAGAGGAAGACTCCTACCTAACCAGTGGCGAAGCGTCCATGTAACCATTATTACCATGGTTAACAGCTAAAAATCTTAAAAATAAATATTTTGGATGAGTGTCGCTGCGTAATCGATCAACTACTTGAAAAGTCATTCTCCTTGTATAATTTTTAAGAAAAAAAAGGAGATCATTGAAGATGGAAGACCAACACCTATTTTAGATAATTTTAAAAAGGAATAAAAAAACGTAGTTTGATATTTTAAATTAAGTTGGTATATGGAAACTCTTGGTTATGTGGTTGCAAAAAAACAGATTGTATTGTTGGCGATGTCATCTGTTTTATACGGAAAAAATGGGTGGACCAGCAGCGGAGTCAACAATTTAAATAGTTTTAGGGCTCTAAAGAGGAGACATGAAATTTCTCCATTAAATGTGAGATGTGTAGCCAATTTAATTCAGTTTGGCAAAACAAGAATCGAAAGTTGTCTTAACCCAGCTTTTAGGCAGCACACTTCTAGATACCGTATGTTTTTTGGCAAAACAGGAATTACCGTTCATTTTGAAGGGGATGACTCTGACAATAGAGGAAATTACAGGGAATTGTTAACATTCATTGCCAAAAAAGATCAAAAATTTTCCGAACTTCTAGAAACGTCGACTGTTTTTTCGGACGGCTTAGATTAGTCATAGCATAAGACGATGAGGTATATCAAGTGCCCCAGACACTCAGTCCAGGAATGTTTACCTTAATTTAAAAATAGTTTAAATAAAATACCTAAGATAAGCAAAAACTATATTTGGGAGGTTCAAAATAAACTTTTTTTAATAAGATTTTTCACATCTGGTTTTGGTAACAGTTTAGGAAAAATCACGCGTCGCCACTGTACCCAACTAAGTTGGAGTATTATAACTAACGATGCGTGCCATTTGAAATAATTAATTTTGAATATACGCTGCTTGTGAGGTGAGCGTGAGCATATGCCAGTTGATGTCTAGAATCGGAAACTGTACTTTCACCAACTGAGTATGCTTCTTCTTTATGCAGGGTGTTACTTAATGATATGCCGTAATCGCAACGGCCCATTTCTGAACCAGATTGAAGCAGAAAAGCTCATATTAACATGTGCCTCAATAAGTCTGGGTTCCAAGATATAGGGTGTCAAAGATTAAAAAAAAAATGTTTTTTACAGAGGAAAAATGATAAGAAACTGTCACGGGAAATCAAAAATACGTTGGTAACAAGATAACACCACCTCTAGCAATAATCAAAGTTGATTTGACTTTATTTTAATAATTTTTCGAAATGCAATCAAGTTGTTTTTATTTTTTCCTCGAGAACGAAGTACGATACCAAGAGATACCAAGAGACAAAAAAATGTATCATTAGAAGCTGTGTTACAGTTATGGAGGTTGTCTTCATTTCTTCGCGAATATGAGTTGTACCAGAGTTACTAGCTAACCTCCACAGTAGCCGCAAGAAAAAATTTATCTGCTATCCGTTAAGTGCACCCCCGCTTGTTCAACCGCTTCCATACCAGCTATCTGCTCGCCGCTGGATAATCAGGAGCGCTCCTGTATTATCGATACGCAAGGAATAGGAGCAAAATACCGGATCAAAGGTAAGCGACAACCCGCATTTCATTTCTTCAACCAGCCTTCTATACAGTCCACTCGAATACTCTAAGAAGCATTTTTTTGTCAATATCATTCCTGAGAGTTTATTCCGGGACGCCACTGGAATTCATAATTATCTTTTAGTTAGTTCTAACCTAACGTCTTATTGAAATGAGCTATAATTCAAAAATTCAACATAATCGGCATAAGTATCCTCGAGATATTCATGAAACACCAAATTTTTGTTGAAAATTTGACATCGTATATCTTGACAACCAGAATATTTAAAACACATGTTTATATGAACTTTTCTACTCTGTGGTTCCGGAATGCGCGCTTGTAATTACGGCCTATGTTTAAGCGACACCATCTATTGCTTGACAAATGAAACCTAGAAGTCTTGTTAGGTAAACAGGTGATAATCCAGTTAGTCATAGAAACGATAAATTTTATACATCTGCAATAACCCTTATAGGATCAATAAATTAGTAAATATTAGCTTGATCTTCTTTTTCCATCCTTAGACAGAGGCCAGCGCTAGAGAACCGGCCTAACCATAGGAGCGAGAAAAATCAGAAAAAGCCATGGCCGAAAAAAATTGATGGAAAAGTAGAAGAAAAATATAAACAGAAAAGCAAAGAAAACGCTGTTGATCAAGCGAAAGCGAGAGAAAGTGACCAAGGAAATAAATCACCAAATAAGAAGAATAAAAATAAAGACGGATTTTATAAACAATATTTGAAAGGAGATGGAGATGTCAATAAGGAAAATATTGCGAATTCTAATGATAATTCACTTTAAATGTGATAGAAAGTTTCTTATTAGGCCACAAGTCATACAGAACCTTTTTAAGTTCTTTTTGCCACAAACAATGTTTTAATATTTTTTGATATTGTTGTTTTTTACTTATTCAATAAAACATGGAATTTATTGCTATGCTTTAATTGTGGCGTGGTGTGATTGTGTGCGCGTTTCTTACAACTACACTTTTTTGCAATTTATATTTGCAAAACACGATTACCTTAGGTGTGTAAATGTTAACACTAAATTGTGCCATTCTATAATAATCATGGCAACATACAAAAAATGTGTCTTCGGAACTAAAACACTGTAACTATCTAAAACTGTAATGACTCATACGCGTGATCAGAACCTGACCACCAACCGCGTACCAATATGTCGCACAATAATCTTGACAAACTTAAATATTAATAAATAAAAATTGGGAAAATATGGGCCTACCGTTTGGATTCATTTCTTTATTAGAATCTTAATTTTAATATTATGCTCAAAAGATCTCATTCATTTGTTATAATAATCTTAGAGTGAAACGGTTTATGCATTTTTGGACATGTTTCCATATGGCGATCTGCTCGAATAAATAAAATATTTAAAAATCTGGACCGTCCTACTTTAACTGCCTACGCTGCCTAAATGGTAGATCGTACATAAACATGCAACTACGAAAATAAGGGTCTTCAAAAGAATTAAAAAATCAGCGAAGCATATAGCGATCTATTATAAACAAGCCACAATAACGCTTTTCGTGAGAAAATAGTCATTTTCAATCGTCCTGGTTGCCTTATTAGGTCCTTGCCTTTTTCGGAACGGATGTCAAATAGCATGGTTTGCTCAAGCGGTTGAGCTTTGGGCTTTCATTCCACCTCGCTCGGATGATTTTAATTTTTTTTCTTTCAAGTAAGTTTGTCCGATCGTCATGAGACACGAAATCCCGTGAAAATTCGCCAAGTTATAAATATCTCATTTGCATTGATATTTTACGTTTTACAACTTTTTGTAATTCAAGATGATTTTTTGCCCTTAAAAATCTTAACGTTTTGTTTTTCCACTGATGAACTCGTCTACTTGTAATAAAACATTAAAACCAGTCTCGATCAACCAACACGCTAAGATTAAGGAACGCACATGAATATTGCCATAATTAAACTGAAATGAAGAGTGAAAACGGATTCCGGTCCTGAGATAAGATAACGCTTTCACGCTACAAGCCCTGATACATTGGCGTAGACTAGTAGTGCTTGGAACTTGTTTCGTTAGGAGTCTAGTTACCACGTACCACGTTGTATTGTTTGTTGTTCGACGAATTGTTATTTGGTTATTTCTGTTGGTATTGTTCGGCTTATACTTATATTTCCTTAACCATGGAGGGTGAGAGTGGAAGTACTGGGAGCCAGAGAACAAGTAGAAAGCTTCGTAAGGCACTGAAAAAGGACGCGAAAGAAATCTTGCTCAACGTGTTCAATTATTTGAAAAGACTATGTCGCAGGGAGATGCACTTAGGCGTTGCGAAAGCACGACAGGCGTCCCAGAGTGGAGCCAAGTTCCATTTGAAGGGACGAAATTCCATTAAACTGAATGGCGACAGCATAATGGCGTTAAGACGAACCGTACATTCATTCTTTATTAGGAATGAGATTCCAACCCTTAAGGCTATACATGCAAAGATCAAGATTAATGATATTTACCCCCAGTGAGCGTCGAAGTATTAAGGAAAAACCTGCAAGAACTTAATTTTCGTTACGAAACGCGTAATCATAAGTCAGGATTGATAGAGAAACCTGAAATAGTTCGTGGCGTCGAAAATATAAATGCGCAATAACTGAATATAGACGACAGAGCAGAAAGTATATTATTTGGACGAGTCGTGGGTAAATGCAGGTCACAGTTAAAAAAACCTATATAGACAAAAATATACTAAATAACCGAAAAGCAAGCATTGAAGGTGTGTCAACCGGTCTTTGTGCACCGTCAAGGAAAAGTCAAAGATTGATCGTTACACATATTGGCAGCAATAGTGGCTTTTTTAAAGGATGCAACTTGACTAAGGCGGTGATTACCAAGACGAAATGAATGCCAGCTGCTTAGAGAGCTGGTTTCAAGAGCTGCTACAACGAGTTGAACTCGGCTCTGTGATCGTCATGGGTAATGCTTCCTACCACTGTTGTCGAGCCGATCGTGTACCAAATAAATATCGGGTCTCGAAAAAGCGAGATGCAGCAATGGTTGCGCGAAAAGGACATTCCGTTTGACGATTCATGTGTGAAAGCGGAACTGTACGAAACAATTAAACATCACCAAGCTGCGAACATTAGTTACGTGATTGATGAGATGGCCCGTCACTGTGCTGCGTTTACCGTTCTACCAATATAAACTGAACCCAATAGAGCTCATCTGGGCTCAAGTGAAGGGTTATATTGCGCGTCATAACACAACTTTTAAATTACCTGACATCAAGGCTTTGCTAGAGAATTTCATACAGCTAGTAACGCGAGAAGCGTGGCAGAATGATGTTCGTCATGTTGTGAAGGAAGAAATAAAAATGTGGCAGCTTGACCACAGCATCGACACCATGATGGAGTCAGTTATAGCCAATCTTGGTGAAGAAAACGATAGCGGCGGCTTATTACTCTCAGATGGAAGTGGAAGCGACGACGAATGAAGAGAGGTACACTCGATTAGCTCATGGATAATAAAAAAAAAACTGTCATAGGTAATCTCCAAATTTCTGATCTATAACGTCCTTCAAACCATTTTTTTATTAAACTTATAAAAGAAATCAAGTTCACCCACATTAAAAATTCATACCCCGCCACTGACAAACAGACTACCGGTGGTTGAGTAATATTCACGTGAACATTGATGAGTCATTACAGTTTTAGATAGTTATGGTATATATATATTGTTTTTTGTAAATCATTTATTGTCTCTTCAATACATCACTGACAGGATATCAAAAAATAAAATTTCAGGATATCTATAAACAAATGTCTCGGAATTATGTGATGGGTTTTCTATGCAATTAAAAAATAGATGTAAATTCATTTAACTAAGATACAAGTTTCGATAACATTAGAGGAAGTAATCAATGACACTTCTGACACTTCTCTTCTTAATATCTTTGCAAGCAATCTTCTTGACGAACCTGAAGAGTGCGTCTACTACATTGGCTGGGGTGCTGTCATCACAGCCTGTTTCCAAGTCCTTCACGATACATTCTTGGATTTTCTTCATATCACTGAAACAGGTTTATTATTATTATTAGAAATGATTAATCAAATTTGTCTTCTTTGACGTTGTAGATGAGTGGCAATTGTAGCTACTTTTTCAAGCTCGTATATTCTGCTTTTTGACATGGCCATGAGGCACTGTATGAAAGGTAATTGATATTGATTGCTTCCACTTGCTGTAATGTTTTATTTATGTGTAGTTAATTTAGAAATAGATATTTCTTAGTAAATAGCGTCATTGCCTTCACAAATCCTGCTGAGTAATAGATTTGGTTTTGAAAGCCACAGTGGCCACACAAAAGCTTATTTTAGACCTTTTTATAACTGAAATGACAGGTTTTATTTTTTATTTGATTCACCTACATTTTAAACTGAGTTGGCAATATGAATATTGAGTTCTTTTTTAGTGTATGAATCGTGGCCTGTTATATGAACGTTAAATCTTTCGTACTTTTAACTTGGTTTGCGCCTACTTTGACATAAATGGCGTTACAGGTCGTGTTTGGTTTTAAATTTTTCATTTTAAGCAACGCGGTTTGTAACAGCTGACAAATGTTGACGTCACGAGATGGCCCTTCGTGACATCACTGTTACTGACAGTAAGTTAAGACCAATAACAACTTTGCACATGTGGTGGTTTCTATGCGGCTATGAAAGTCAAATGGTTCATTCTGTCTGCGTTCGGCCCTATGTTTGCATTAAATTTAGCATGATGGAACGGTCGTGGACGAGGGGCCTAACTAGGTGGCCATGATCTCAAGCGACAGCGTCATGATATTCGTTATCCAAATGACACATCCATAGAAACATCCCTTGCAGTGCGACGCTTACTTAGCGTCCGTATAACATCGAAGAATGCGTCCTTATATAGTCAAATCCTTGACGTTTTTAGCACTGTACAACATGTAACAAAACGACAGAACGTTGGACTGATAATCAGAAAATGATATACTATGTTTGAAATTGTGGCCTTCAGGCAGGTACTTACTCGCATTTTTTCTGGTCCATAGATAGATTTGGAATTGAGTTTCCTAGTGATGATGGGTTGAACTTCACAGTGTCGTTGACGCAGTTTTTGATTGCGTCTGTTCGAGATTTCAAACATTCTACACCACCTTCTGCTACGAACACTGCAAGAGTAATTTATTATGCTGTTTATTAATATTTATACCTGGCGATGGGATATGTTATATATACATTTTTTATTCGCCTCTAAGAGTGTTTTACATTCTTCTATAAACGAAAAGCGGTAAAACTTATTCTCCAAGGTAACGTTTTTTTATAACCGGCCCATAGAATATAACCCTACTTCTACTATGGATGTCAAGAAGGGTTTATCTCTGATGGATGTTAAATTTCCTTATGTGAGCAAAATAACCTGATTCTCTGACATTGGCAGTTCAACATGAAACATGCTAAATACGATTTATATGATCAATAAAGTTATAATCATTTAGGGCCGTATCGCCAGTCGTAGGACGCCTATATGGCCTCCTTGATTTTCATAGTCTTTTTCTCCTTCCGAAAGGCTGGGGATTTCTAGATTTCTATTGTTCTGTGTCAGCTTCAACGTTCTTTTATTGTGAGGGTATGTTTTTTGAATTGTAGGAAATTTCAGGCTGATATTACAGATAATATAAATTAAAAGCATGATCAATTTGATGCAAATAGATATATGTGACATAATCTCAAAATAGAGCGCTGACACGAAACAGTAGAAAACTATGAAAATAAAGGAGGTCGCACAACACTAGAAAACGATTGTGCAGGGCTGGCTGTCTGTGATCGAACAAACGAAAGCTATATTACTAGTTTGTAGATATGGTCACATTCTAGCAGTACTCAGAAAAACATTAGATTTGAGTTCTCTTTCAGTGTACGAACTTTAGGAACGTCCTCTCCAATACACGATCCAAAAGTCCATTATACCGCGCAACAAAGGGTTATCGATTCAGACTGCTGATTAATTTGAAATAACTTACTGGCAATTCTGTCGCCATCCTTGAAACAAACAAAATCACCAATCTGGTTGAGTATATGTTCCGTAGTGTTGACCGCCTGCCTTTCAATTTCCTCCAAACATGGTTCAGCTGCGTTGTAGGTTTTCATGAAACACTCGCGCAGCTCTGGCCTTTTCTTGCAGTACCTGCCGAACACTTCGTCCATTGAGCCAGTCTTCTTAGCTTCTTCTACTTCTTCTTTCACTTTTTCTACGTTCACTAGCTCTTTAATGCATGTCTTCGTTTCCTCGATGGCTTTCTGTATGGAAGATATGTCAATTCGTTCATGTAATGAAATAATGTCTTCAAAAGCATCAATACAGGGTGTTTCAGAAAGATGTGCCAATATTTCTAGGGTAGAAAGTGCACCCAACTAAAAAAAGTTCCTATATATATATATATATAGGAATTATATATATAACAAAAAGTAGATGTCTCCTTGAAAATTCGAGGTCTTCTAGCCGTTTTATACTACAATGTGTAGGTCCGGCTCTTGTTGTGGACTTCGTGTGTCGTTTTTTCCCTCCCCATCTTCGTTTCCTCAGGTTACACCCGTATCCGGATGAGTGGGCATGTGTATCTACTTTTGTAGATTCATATGTGCATTCATTTCGGGCCTGATGAAGCCAACCAGCAGAAATACGTATCGCTCGGGTTACCTATCCTATTTTCTGCTCGAATCCACTTTCCTCCTTTTTGCGGATTTTGCCCATTATTTTCCTACTTTTTGTTATATACCTTTCTCCGCATGATCATTTTCTCTTTATATATATAAAATTATATCTACGGAGTTAGAATTCTAGACGTTCATCAGCAATAAACACACAGCGTCTCCTGGCCCAAAATAAATCAGGGATCCAGAAACTGGGGTACATGGACCCCTAATAGAAAATATTTTCTACGTCACTGGCCTTTTTTGGGAAAATAAGTGCAGTTTATAAAACTCCATTGATTTTTTCATAATTTTGTTCCTTAAGGAATTTTTGTCAGATCACTCGTTTAAAACATATTTGGGTTTGAATGTTTGAGGTAAAATCCTGAAAGCACCATCAAGCTTGATATTGGAAACACTATATGGCATGTGCAGAGAGCTAAGGCACCTCGTTACAACATTCATTGAATAATATTCGGGTCTTATACTCAATCAGTAGCGTAGAAGCTTACCATTCATTAATTCCTAAAATCACAACTAGTAATTGTGGAACCATTCAATGTGAGATTCTTATTCTTATTACTTTACTTCTGAAATTATCGGCATTTTTTTTCTCAAAATTCTTTAGCAATTCCGATTAAGTGAGCTCAACAAAGAAAATATCACAAATCGTTAGAAACCTCGGACACGATGGATGAGGACGAACTATACAGAAGGCTTTCAACACTTCTCGTACTACGCCATGTATTCTCCAAAGAGTAAGAGTATTTGTGGCGTAGAGCACGGGTTTATATAGAATCCAGAGGTTACTTTCAACACCTCCTTTAGGATGTATGTTACAGCATTTATTTACCATTATTTTTTGTTACCAATGTCCTTATACATGTATCAAATGTAATGTTTTTTCATTTTGAAGTTCCTCTATCTATAAACAAAAATGACTATACCGACAAAACTAGTAGCGTGCACAGAAAAGATTTAATGAATGGTAAGATTCTCTGCTACTGATTAGACACACGTATTATTCAATTAATGTTGTAATGAGCTTTCTTCACATGCCATATAGTCTTTCCAATATCAAAATTTACGGTGTTTTCAGAATAGGGGAGGCTAAACCTTTCCATAATAATACATATTTTAGGATTTTACCTCAAATATTCAAACCTAAATATCTCTAAAACGAGTGATCTGACAAAGATTCGTTAAGAAATAAAATTTATGGAAAATTTAATGTTATTTTATAAAATGCACTTCTTTTCTCCGAAGGTACCCGGTTTAGTTTTTGCCAGGAAACTCAGTGTGTTTAGCTTATGTGATCACTGCACGTCTAAAATCTTAACTCAGTATCTAGATATAACTTTTTTCATTTTCGTAAATAAAACTTTGTCACCCTGTATCTCGGTAGGAGAGCATGTTTGGACCCATATTTATTTTTGGATGTACTTTCTACCCCATAAATATTGGCACGTGTTTCTGAAACACCCTGTATATTCAACTGGTGAAATCCAGCATGAGAGAAATTCACGCAAACGCTTCACTTTTTAGTAAGGAATCCACCCATTTTCCACGACAAATTCATCCTAGGAGACATGATGTTTTAATGTTCATTGAATTCAGCCGAACTTTTGTCCAGGGAATCCAATTAAGTTTTGTGGTTGGCTATGGTAGAATTTTGTAAATCTGTGATTTCGTTGAGTTCCACTCCTTGGGTAAATAGGGTGCGTAGATTCCGAACCTGACATTAATTTGACGCTAGGACTCACTACTGGTCCTAAATGACTGCTATACCTCAAAAGAACGTTACACGAAAATTTAAATGTTGTCCTATTAATGTTTTGAGTTTTTGTATGAGAATAAATTGACAATGTCCTGGCGCAGGTTTCGAATCTGACGTGAATTTGACACTAGGATGCACAGGGGCTACGAATATCTAAAAATTTGATCCAAAATATATGAAAATTAAACCTACCTCCAACTTTTCGTATGTGCCTGCACCTGCTTTCTTCTCACATCTTTCTTTTACTGCCTCAAAATCTCCTAACTTAGGAATTTGTGGAATTTCCAGGGGAAGGTCTGCCACACATAATCCTGCCAAAAACAAATTTCCAAATCATTATTTTCCTAGAATCTAATGTTCTAAGACAAAAGTATGGTACGATGTAAAATTTTTATTTAGACGACATACCAATGTTTGCACGACAAAAAATATATTCTGAGTTCGTCCACTTTTACCTCTCACGCCTACTGGCGAGGAAGTATTGTAATCGCGAAACATTTTGAAAATGAGATATGATCTTAGGGTGTTATACGACTTCGGTCTGTCGGTCTGTCTGCTTGTCTGTCCGCTAATCCTTTGTACGTCTATAACTTGGAAAGCACCGCTCGGATTTGAATGAAATTTTTACATAAGGTTACTACTACGCCAAGGACGAAAAAGCTTTGTTCTTGAAAATCGGTCCAGTAGCAGCAGAAAAAAAGGGCAAAAACGAAAACAAATTTAACCGCTCATACTTCTTTTTTTGAAAAACTGGTGGTAGAGGTGGGGGAGAGTATCTCTCAATTTGCGGATCCTAGAAAGCCCCAAAATTATATACAAAAGCATGTTAAACATGCAAATTTTAATTGTATGACCCTTTTTGAGTGTTTTATCCATATACTTTTTTGTTATACATGCTTTTCAGAAGGGATAACTTGTTCCGAATATAATCCTTTACCAACTGATGAGCGTTGCGTGAGATTACAGAGTCAACCTACTTGATGCCATTTTTTGAACGTACGAGCAGTGGTAAAACTTGTCCTCCAAAATTTTTTACGCTATTCGTCCTTAGAATGTGACAATAATACCTCTGCCATACATGAACGCTCTGTAAAAACGGTTTTGACAATATTGTCACATTTGCGAGCTATAAGTTTTCTGAGATTTGTTGCCGAGAAAAAGTTTTTAAAAGATGGAAGTTGACCCAGGAGGATCAACAGACGACCCAGTTCCACATACTATGAGGAAAGAGCTGAGCGGTGGCGGAAACCAAGCAGAAGCAGAAAACATGAGCTCACTGACGCAGATGTCATCGGAGCAGAAAACGATCGAAAAACTGATGCTGATTATAGACGACCAGACGAGGCAGATTCGAGACCTAATGGAGACCATCAAGGACCAGACAGCCAAAATTGACAGCCTTACCGCCCAGGTAACCATATTACTAAACTCAAAAGAATCCCCTAAGAACGGACAAAGACCCTAAAAAGACCACTGTTAAACGTTACTGATGATCATCTCACATCCACAGACGAAGACGTACAGACTGAAGGATTTGTAAAAGCAAAATCAAGAAGGAGGAAAGGCGACAAGGCCGATCGATCAACCCAAGACTTTCCTCCTCTTCCGAATACAGGATCAATTCTATTTCACACCTCCCCCAATTCATCAAATCGAAACACTATTAATACTTCTATTACCAAGCCAGGGACCACGTTATCTACCTGTCAGGTGACACCGTCAGGTGACACCGTCAGCCGATGTTACTTCTCCTCCGTCATCTCGTCCAACCGTCGTGGCATCAACACAACCCTCACGACAAGGGCGCATAACCCCGATCGTCTTACGCGACGGGACGAGATGGCGTACTTTAAATTTCAAGTTTATTTCCCTAGGTATTAAAATAGATCGCGCGGTTGCCGTCGATGCGGGAATAAGGATTATTCCTAAATCCGAGGACGACTACCGTAAGATCGTTGGCCTATTCCGAGAGGAAGAAGTGCCCCATCACACTTTTCCTCTCCCTTCGGAACGGAACATCCATGCGGTGGTTCGAGGACTTCCCGTCAACTTTTCGGATACTGAGATTAAGGGAGAACTGGAGCAGAGGGAATAGAGCCCTCTTCACATCATTCGATGTGCGACCATGCCTTTGGTGGTCGTGATACTGCCCAAGACTGAAAAGTCTCAGCAAGTGTTCAACAAACACGAACTGCTGGGACTGGCCATTCGAGTTGAGGTTCAGAAGAACTCCAGACTCATTGGGCAGTGTCACCGCTGCCAAAAGTATGGGCACGCGCAGTCATATGACCACATGACGCATTTGTGCCCCCTCACAGAAGAGGAAGAACGCAAGTGCGCGAACTGTGGAGAGGGAAATCCCGCAAATAGCCGGACTTGCAAGTTCACTCCAAGGAGGAACTTGCAAGTTATAGCGCAAAGGCGCAATATATCATACGCGGACGCAGCTCGGGAGGCAACCATGCATGCCCCCTCTGCCCAACCTCCCTTGAGCACGCAAAATGTGGACCTGGCAACCGCGCTAAGGTCCTTACAACAAATAATAAGCCCACTGATTAGCGCTACCCAAGCGTTGCAGGCGATATTTCCTGTAAATGTCTAGGTACAACAGTAGACAGCCTGCATTCATCAAAATTCTTTTTTGGAATTGTTTGGGCATGAGGGATATTCCCAAAAAACGGGAATTTCATCAAGCTCTTTTGGATGAAGGTATAGATGTAGCCTTGCTGCAGGAAACGTTGCTTAATCCGGGAGATCGTTTAGCTCTCCCGAATTATGATGTTATCCGAGGTGACAGGTTGAATGGTCGAGGCGGCGGTTTAGCAGTGTTGATTAAACGCGGTATAGACTATTATAGAAGCACTAATGCGGAGATGCATAGCATCGAAGCAGCTTCTGTGGTGGTCAATATGGCGGGAGGTGTCTCGTTGAAGATCACATCGGTGTATGTCAGGTGTGGTGCCAGGCTACAAGAAGTGGATCTGGAGGTCCTTTTGGACTACTCGGGTCCGCTTATTGTGGTAGGGGACTTCAACTGCAAACATCGAGCATGGAATTCTAGGTTGAATTCCACTAGTGGGGTTCGATTGTACAACCATGTGATGCGAAATGGGTACCTTATACATAGCACTGAAGAGCCGACACATCATCCATTCAACCATCTTCAGGCACCAGATGTCATCGATTTCGCGATATCTAAAAACTGTAGATACAGTATCTCTTCTCGAATCTTGTATGATATCTCTAGTGACCATCTACCTGTTGTCATGGATGTGGGCAATGAGCAAACTTCTGAGGAGGCAACTCCTCCAAGGAAACGCATTGATTGGGACCTGTACAAGTTGCTCCTTAGAGATTTTCCCGATGTCCCGATTATAGATGATGAGTCTGGAATAGATGCCGCTCAAGCGGAGTGGACAAGTTTCATTCAAGCAGCTCTACAGCGTGCAGCTGTGTTTCCTGTACAACGACACGTCAGAAAATCTCTGACAAAAGAGCCGCTATTAAACAGGCAAAAAGGTCTTGTCATCCTGATGACATTCGTAGGGCTACAAATCTTGTCCATGAAGTGAGAAACGCACTGCACGAACTCCGCAACGAGCAATGGAGCGACTTTCTGGCGGGAATGCTTGATTCAAGTATTCCTCTCTGGAGGGTCGCAAAGTCACTCAGAAATGGAGGAAAGCGAGAACAACTCCCACACATCCACGGTCCTGAAGGCATAGTCCTCAGAACGGAGGATAAGGTCGAGGTTTTCGCTGATGCCATGGAAAAACAGTTCTCTCCCAACTATGATCTCGATAATGACCTCGACGAGGAACAGCACATCGTACGATCCGTCAGGAGATATTTTAGGGCCAACGGCGTCAGCGGAAGCACTGAATCCTCTTCAGATGGCTCTTCTTCAGAAGATTCGTCTGAGGCTCCACATAGCACATTAGCGGAACCCTCCGAGTTTCCACATTGCACACCAGCGGAGTTACTAAGTCATATTAAAGACCTCAAGGTGCGTAAAGCGCCTGGGGAGGATCAAATCACCAACAAGGCGTTGAAGCTGCTCTCGCCGAAAGCCCTGACATACTTGGTGACAATAATCAATGCGACGCTCAAAATCCAGTACTTCCCTGCTGGGTGGAAGACTGCTGAGGTCATAATGATTCCAAAGAAGGTGGGTTCGATATTTCCGATATTACCGTCCCATAAGTCTGCTGTCAGCTCCTTCTAAGCTCGCCGAAAAGGTGATTTATCGTCACCTTGAGAATTTTTCGTCAAATCACCATGTGATTCCTGACGTCCAATTCGGTTTTCGGTCCGAGCATAGCACCGAGCTACAGGCAGTCAGGCTGGTGGAGCATGTAACCGGAGGGTTCACCCTTAGCATGAGTACTGGCATCTTGCTTTTGGATGTCTCAAAAGCCTTTGACAAGGTGTGGCACGCGGGCCTCCTCTATAAACTAATCCAAAAGGGTTTTCCTTTTTGGCTTCTAAAATTGCTGAAATCCTTTCTTGAAGGAAGGAAGTTTCGGATCAAAATTAACAATGTTTTGTCAACAACACGACCAGTACGGGCCGGTGTTCCTCAGGGTTCGGTCCTAGGACCAATTCTTTATTCGCTTTTCATCCATGATGTCCCTTCCCCCAGCAACTGTGAAGTCTACCTCTATGCTGACGACACTGCGCTTGTCGCCCAGTCGTGTACTGGTGATCTGGTTCACGATGGGTTGCAGAATGCGGTGGACGAAGTTCTAGAGTGGGCGGAACGGTGGCTGATAAAAATTAATCATTCGAAAACGCAGGCTATTTATTGTACCAAAAAACGTCGCGGCCCCCCAGCAGAGGTTTCTGTAGACGGAAATCGTGTACCATGGACAAATTCTGCCAAGTATCTCGGTGTCACCCTTGATAAAGGCATGACCTGTCAGAAACATACAGCAGCCATAAAAACAAAATTCCAATTTGCGTTTCGGCAACTATATCCTTTGTTATGTAGATCCTCCAAATTGAGTTTGATAAACAAAGTTCGACTATATAAAATGATTATTAGACCAGCCATTACTTATGCATGTGCGGCTTGGTGTTTTCTTGCCAAGACACACATGCAAAGTCTTCAAGTACTGCAAAGCAGAACTTTGCGGACAATTTGCAACGCTCCATGGTATGTCTCAAATGAGACACTACACAGAGACCTTGACATTCCTTACTTGAGGGACTATGTCAAGCTTCAGGCGCAGCGACGTTATAGTCAAGCGGAATCGCACAGCAACCCTCTGTTGCGTGACTCAGTGGACTACACAGTGGAGCAAGTTCGTAAACATTCAAGGCCACGGCTCGCACTGTAATCAAAAGTTAGCGTGAATCTTTAGTAAACTCAAAATTACACTCTAACAAAACCGAATCAAAAAAAAAATTGTTTAGTTCACCTCAAAATTAATCCGTGTACCAAGTCAAAAATCCTAGGTGTTTCCTCTTAAACTAAGGATATCTGTTTTTCTTTGCTCTTCTCCTTTTTTCTTCTCTTTCCCTTTCTCTTTTTCCTTGACTTTGTCCGGTTTCTGGGCAACCAGGACTGACAGATTCGACTAACGTACATCAGACAGTGACTAATGGGCAAAGGTCCTACGGACCGCCCAGACAAATAAATGACGAATAGTTACCTCTGCCATAGAGGTTACGCATTCGTCAGAATTGGAGAAAAGAGCCGTTGTTAACAGTTTGACGTAAAATATACCAATTTCAAATCAGATCCTAATGGCTGCTTCTTCCAGAGAGCAGTACAAAGGATTTGAATGAGTTCCGATGTTCAAGATTCAATATAGGTTCCCAATATACGTTTTCAAAATTAAATTAGAATTAAAAATGCAATTTAGCCTAGATATAAAATACCCCAAAGGAATTTTTCTTAGGGGGCCATCGCCTAGAGTTAATTTTTTGTGAGGGTGTGCCTGTCCCAAAAACTTTCTGGGGGTAGCAAATTTGCTCAGGGAGGCCAAATCTTAAAAGAATATACACAAAAGCCTGCTAAATATGAAAGGACCAGGCACGTAACATATGGGATTTGACCACCGGTCATTTTTAACGAAAATTCGTATAGATATAGTTCATGTTGGGCTCATCTAATGTCCAGAAATGCTTTTTGTTGAAGATAGGAGTTAAAGTTTGGTGACTTGGCCCATGCAGACAAGCTTATCTGTACCATTCTACGAAAACTAAATCTTCTTTATTGTAGATCTTTTTTTTTATATTCCAACTACCACGAAGGCCTAAGGCCTAAACACCCATTGGGGATCGTGGGGCTATAAGGGGATACAGGGGAAAGGGTGAACGCCACGCGGACTCTGTCGAGGGAACACGTGTGCATGCAACATGCACACATTCTGGCTCCGCCTACGAGATCCGCCGGGTTGTACCTCCGCGTTCGACAGTCAGAAACCGTCTACCACCTACGGACAATCACAACATCCATAGCCAAGAGAAAAATTTCTCCTGGGACGGGATTCGAACCAGCACAGCGCACGGCGACTGATCAGGAGACCGAAGAGTCTACTACTGCGGCCACCGCTGCTGCCTTGAAGATTGAACGGTGTAGAAGAAATCACGTGAACACGAATATATACGAAACGAAAATGGAATAAGTTCAATAGAAAAACTATAAAAGTTATTTGAGAACGATTTACGTAGCAAGATTGACATCTTTTAGGTAGCAAACATGTTTTTCTTAATGAAGGACCTTTTGTTTTATCGAATAGAGAAAAATTGCGCAGTTTTCACTCGTTATCCACTGAGACCAAGCATATACCATGCTGAGGAGTTGCCAAATAGCACGAAACAACTGTCTAGGGAGGGCCATCAACCTGATACCAAAAAATTATAAAAAAGTGAGTCATAGGGTGTAAAAATATAGGGGATGATCTAATTAAAATTTTCGAGAAAAACGTTTTTCGTTGACAAAATTCAATGAGAAACTACGCGAAATGGCAAACGTCGTTTGTAATTTCTCGCCTCGGACTATAAACGCCCATTTAGCCCTAGATACATAAATAACTATTTTCGCTTTCTATCACCTGGTTCATAACGATTGATATTTTTCTTTGTGTTCTATATACATAAATGACAGTTGATATTTTTTCTTTCTTCTCTTTAGATAAATAGTAGGTGTACACGCTTGTACTAAATTTTTTTATCAGTAACCATTCATTATACATCAACAAGGTTTTCTTGGAACTGGAGATGATATTATCAACATAAATTTACACATAGATCTCTGCTAAATAACGACGAAGATCATAACTATTCTGACCTCTTGACAACAAAATAACTCCAGATTATACAATTGAGGTCATCGTTTCTATCAGTAATACAAAACACATCGTACATGTTGCACAAATAAAAGTAATTCTAGTGGGTTGGTAAATATGTAGCAGATTGAATTTTTCTATGTTGCTTGGTATCTATTTATGTTTTACTTTTAGTAGGGATATTTACTTACTAAATTGAAGGGCAGATTCAGCACAATTAAATATAAAAAAAAGTTCATATAAACATAGGTTTGGAAAAGATTCGTTTCCATGATAGGGGGTCTTAACTGTCTTTAATAGCGCACCTTACATTTTTCGAAAATAGATTGGGCTATTTAGATGAGTTTTGGCATTCGCATCTATTCAAAAACATCATTGCCCTGCGCTTCAAAATGTTCATAACACGAATATAATTCAACAACAAATTTTGCAAACACTTTTTTTTAAATTTGAATCATAAACTTGTCTATTTTTTATGCCCTGAAACGACTTTTTAAATTTGCAAATGCGTCACAATTTTTAAACTGTCCATCTCCCAAAATTTGCTTTACAACCCACTAAAATGACCAAAATCGTAGACTTCAATGATGTATAAGAACACTTTTAGAAAATATAGTACATTTGAATACACATTAAATTGATACATCACGCATTCAATGCATAATTGATTAAGTCAGGCGAGACATGGTAGTGTCGTTTTTGTATTAATAACAAACCTATGTTCAAGCAAACAAGTTATTTTCTTATGCAAAAAAATAAACCAAGGGTGTTACGCCACCTATGAGTAGTTTCGCACATCACAAAACTGAGTTTTTTATACCTTCGCAGCCTCGTAGGCAGAAGCGCCTAAATATCGGGGCACCGCAGCTGCTATAAAGAGCATAAAGAGACTTTGTTTATCCGACTCTTGGACTGCCCAAAGTTAGCAGAACTGGGAAGAGTCTCTTCAGGTAAATTGTTCCACAATCTAGAGACAAGGGAGTAGTCCTACCGGTCAGTTCTCGATGTACGAAGTTCGACACGGTTAGGAGTTTCTCAATAGACCCATCTTTGTTTGCTTTCTGTCATCTGCCCACAAATAACTAGACCTGTACAGTACTGCTGATTTCTAAAAAGCATGAAACAACGTTGTATACGATTTGCTATTTTCGCTTAGCCTGAAGCAAACAGATCCTATTCAGACAATTTATTTTCTTCCAGAAGAATTCTATAAATATGAATGATGCTGAATAGAATTTATTGAGCGATTTAAGCTCGTTCTGCATTACTATTAGGTAGATTTTTTGAAAAGGTTGCTATAAGGATAGATCTAACGAAACTTTCAGACACAAACATTTTAGAATTAGGACATAAACTAGTTTTTGACCTTAGAATATTTTTAAAACAGTGAACCATCGTTTATCCATTTACCTAACAAGGGGTATTAACAAAATTTCCAAACGTTTGAGAAATATCTCCTTTTCTCGGTATGTAAAATAAAAAATATATTCTGTAAAAATCCCATTATTTTTGCATTACAGAGACAAAATTCAAAAATCTGATGAGAAAATTTTCCGCTTAATATTGCATCTATGATTCCCCAATTTTAAAAAGTTAAGTATTTTATGGGTTTGTGTCGAGCGGATGTTTTCCCATCACCATATCTCGCTTTTTTTAAAAAGCGAGAAGTAAAAAGTCTAAGCACTTACTTACCGATGAAAGCAGCCAAAGTAACAACGATAAGCCTCATTTTTTCCCCACACAAATCACAAATATCCCAGTTGATACGGTGCTGTTCCGACACGAAATAGTAACCACAAACAGAAAGGTCAAACTAATAAGGATGAGTAGACGCGCTGTTTTATCTGTTGGAAACTTGAACTTTCATACTCGTAATAATTAGATTACACCGAACTTATATGGATTTTTGTGTGGAGAGCAGCAAATCTCTTATTTGAAGCACCACGTGGTTAATTGACTACAGCTTTCTAAGAATATTTGTTTGAAGCCATAATAATGTTGCATATTTAGAAGCGTCATGTATTTGTAAATATCTGCGAACGATTTATTGCGAAGTACCATAATAGTACCATAATCTGTTGTAGATAGTGGATATACCGAGTGATTTTTTAGATCTTCCTAACAGTCTTTTGACCGTTTAAAAGACGCGTTTCAGGAGAAGCTCACACAATTTTTAAAAATTTTTTCATCAAAAATGGTATGTGAACCTTCTTAATCTACAAAAACTGCTAAAAAAGCTTTTTACCTCCAGACATAGTGCAAGATTTCAATATCTTCGCGTTACTCGAATAGATTGGATGATGATTGATCTTTGATTAGGTCAAGGGTGGAGAAGGACATCGACTACGGCCTACTCGATCTGCAGACCTAAACGCTCCCTCTCTTCTATGGGCTTCCGTGTATTTCAATTTCATCTGTAATCCAGTCATATTAGGAGTTTCACCTCGAAATGAGAGATCATAAGCTGTAAACTCGTAGAAACACTTATTTTGTCATTGATACGGTCTTAAGATATCAAGGGTCACAAAACTCGTTTTTTTGCAAAGATCTTATTGGTTCAAAGCTAGTATAAAATTCTCTACAACATTTGTTTTAAACATTTTTTCATTTAGCAATTAACTGTTTTTGTGCTAAAGGGTGGAGGGCGCGCAGGTACTGCATTATATTTTTGGTATTTTTCATTAATCAAATATATGTTTATATAAAATATATGCTTATATAAAAATTTGCAAAACCCAAATGAAGAATTGTGCTATCAACAAACCCATATATGTATGTTTTAGATACCCCATAGTAGTTGCAACAAATCAGAGAATCACAGGGTCATTCTGTGCCTATAAGAGTCGCCTGCTCAAAACTGACAAAAAGTCCCAGAACTCAATCGAAGAATCGTGCAAACAAAAAAGTCATACGAGTATATGTTGTAAAGGCCCTATAATATTACATATCTACCCTGCAATTCCCGGTTCTATTGCAAAACTATACCCTAGATATGTACTTCAATACATGTGAGTTTGTTGTTGGCATAACTCTTCGTTTCAGTTTTGCATTTTTTTCGATTTTGGTAGTCAGCCCAGAATCACCTTGCAGTCCCCTGTTTTTCTTTTCAATACGAACTACTATTTCATATTTAAAGACGACCTATCTATATAACTGTAAACAGACTCTTGTTGTTTTCTTTTTCCTAAACTCTTATAAATTATTAAATTTTATTGTAAAGGTGCTTGTAAGCAATTGGTGCCCTGGTTACGAAGTAAGTAGCTGAATCCTCGCCAGTAAAATAAAAGGCATTTTATTATTATTATTATTGTTATTATTACTATAGGGCTTTTTTTTTTGAACTAACGGTCGACCTTGCATTAAGCTGGAAATAGCTGCTATCTCAATAACGGTTAATGGTTTTAAAGAAAAGTTGCAAAAAATGTTATTCATTTTATTTTATTCAGAAGGATCTATTGCAATCAAGCATAATATTAATGAGAGAAAGCATATTTATGCGACCACTGTAACTGAAATCTAAAATTGCTTGCGATTACATTTCATTTTTACATACCCTCCTGACTATTGGCGTGGGAACTATATTCACAATAAAGATTTTCTACTGATAAGGAATGGAAATTACAAATATGATCTGTATCATAAATAATTATCTGTCCTGTGCCCACTTCGTTGAGCGTCAAATATTTTTACTTGTGATCAAATTATTGTTTCGAAAATACCCTTTTTTTATTGTGTCGCTGAAAATGTATAAAATTGGCGTTTCATATATTTTATTGCAACATACTAATTTGATTTTTAAATCTCCTGGTCATTAAACGTCATCCTTCAGGTCAAATTTATTACTCTCTGACTAATTTATCACAATACTTGCAACTAATTTATTACAAACTTATGACCATGTCGACTGGACTATGGTGATCTGTGCTGTTGACCCATACGTCGTCTCTATCTCTCTCTCTCCCCTCGCCGCGTGTATTATCTTGGAATCGGCGGATCCAGAAGCACTCCCGCGTTCTCTGGATTGAAATCGAGTATTCATCGAAGCCTGGTAGACAACGGTCGATTTTTCTCGATGCATGGCGAACGTCCACGAACCGCGGTCGCGCAATTCCGGTTGCCTAAGCGTCGATGTTACGAGGGTGTCTCATTATTACTCAAAGTTCAAGCTTCAAGGGCGTTACATTATTTTGTGTGGTTCTCCGTACTACTGAGTTTTGAGGATTTATTTCATGTTTATTTTATTTCTTGTTGCCTACGAGTATGTTAATTGTTTAGGACTTCTCTCTATATTATAGTAGTTCAACCTCGAGATAAACCATGGAAAAACACTCGTTTCTCAAGCAAGGGCGGATTTAGAGGGAGGCGCCCAAGTCTGCATTTTTTTGTTTCAAGAAAGTGGTATACTATATATTGCTGTATCTCAGTGTAAAATTACCTTGCTAGACCTGAATCGCTAAGTGAGTGAGAGCAGATTAGCACGGACTAGTAATTCTCCGCTTTTAGTACCTATGTAGATTTCTACTGCTGAAATAATTTTCAAAATCGGATCTGGAGTTCCAGAGATTACTTCCCTCAAAGAAACTCTCAACGTGTACCTCTCTATAAAATTAAATTGATGAGCACACTAGCTTTAAGTGAAAACATTTATTTGGATTTCTTGCTGTTATTTGAAACACAAAGCTAGTAGAGTTTAGTTGTAGATCTTAAATATTCCAATAGTACTGCTAGTTAAAAGAGATGATATAAAAAATATCGGATGGTTTTCACACAAACATTCACGCATGCTTCTTACACAATATGTAACAAAAAACATTTTTAAAGTACTTCAGCTATAATGGTTTGTTGTTTTTAAATTCCAAGCAGAATACAAAGACCTTTGTACTTTTACTTCTAATATGAAGGTTCGATTTCTTAAATTTCGTGTTCCATTACAATCGGCATATTTCCCATACTGGTAGTCCGCAAAAGATATTGCTACTATGTGATTTTGTGATTAGAAGTAAAGATGTATTGGACATTCTAAATTGTAACTATCATTCGCCGCCAATGAGACATCGTAACCTAATTATTTTGTTTCATCATTAGTTGAATAATCTAAAATATTAACAACTTATTGTAAATATTTAGAAATCGTAAATTTATTTACTCGTATAACGTTGTTTACAAGCTATCACGGGAGTAAAAGCAATTTTCCAGCAAACAAATTGGCGTATGTTGGTCCAGTCTGAAGTCTTCTCAGAGAAAAATTAAGAATTAAGAACTACTCAACTGTCCAGTTTTCGATTGATTTTCATTTGATTATATTCAACTGTGCTTGTATTGCATGGTTAACCTCCTGCCGTATTATTTATCCTGCTGAATCGGAAAATTCTTCCAAATTCATCCTGTGTACAAAAGAGTGCATAATAATTACCTTTCAATGGTATACCAAGCAGCTGCATTGTTAGGATTAACTTCACTTTCTTTGGAAAAATTCCTTCCACATAATTATAGAATGTTCCATCTCATTAAGCTGTTTAGCAACAATTTTAAAGATGCCTTGACTGGAAACTACACAGATATTCGCTAATGTTGCAATTAGTTGGAGATCCTAAATCGACGATTTCCAGTTTGTATCTACCCATACAGGGTGGATCCAACTTACGGTTTTCATATCTGATATTGCATAGGCTACGGTTACTATGGTTGCGAATTCTGGTGAAATTTGGTTCTGACGAGTACGTTGTCTAACAGTTTGGTAATCAGTACGTTTTTGCCGCCAGGCAAATGTGGACTAAATTAACTTTCTTGAAAGTCCTTTACTGAAGTTACTGCATGTAGAGGGCGCACTGCGCACGACGGTAGTACGTCCACGGCTCCCTGGTTTGGTGGCTTTGCATTGGAACCGAGACAACTAAGTCAAACTCAAAAATTTATCGTTTGCCCTTTATGGATCTCCCACCGTTGGATCTAGTGATCCGCGGTGAAGCGAGAGTAGTCGCACATCAACTTAGGGTCAGGGCATCCGGGCTTTCTTGTTTCCTATCAAGGGACACACTGCCATCTTAGTCGAACTGTAAATGGGGGATCCTTCTGAGCAGGGGTGAGACGCAGGTAGCCGGAAGATCCCGGAGTGAGTGGGCAGGTCTGCTATACGGACGGCTCGGTCACCGAACAGGGCTTTGACTCCGGGGTCTCTGGGCCTAGAACTAGGCTACCTCTGCCTCTTGGTGAATACACCACTATTTACCGGCGGAAATCTTTGCGTTTCTGGCTTGTGTATCCCATATTTTGGAGGAGGGAGGGCCTAGGAGGAGAATAACAATTTTCTCCGACCGCCAGGCTGCAATGAAGGCACTAAGTGCCTGTAAGATTATTCTGAGCCTTGTATTGCAATGTAGGGACGCTCTGGATGTAGCAGCGAGGCATCCGGTATCGTGGGTACCGGGGTACGCTGGAATAAAGGACAATGATACGGCTGAGTCAGCTTTAGGGGCAAAGAATTAGAAGGAATTTGTCTCAAGGGAAAGTGATGGCTTCCAGTAAAATCAGCTACAAAACAGCTACAAAGCTGGAGGAGTGCAAATGGTGGTTTTCTTCAAGGTCTTCCCAACCATCGCTTCAACCGCAAATGATCACCCACACGCATTACAGGAAAAGTTCGCAGCCGAACCTATATAAAGAACATCACTGGTTGCCTATGGGTAGACCTCACCTCAGTACCGTATTATTTCCCAAAAAAAATGTTGGGGGTAAAGAGAGATTCAAATTACTGGTAAGAGATCAAAATTCATCGTAAAAAAAGGTTACGTGATTTTGGGACGTTACAAACTGCCAAATGTGGATTGATGTAAGCTCAAGTTCCTTATATCTCAAACACAAGTAGATTTCCATAAAACTTGTCATTGGAGTGCAAAATATGAAATTGGTTTTAGGTCCGTATCGTCAGTCGTCCCTACAATTGTAGGGCGCCTTTATGGCCTCCTTGATTGTCATAGTTTTCTACTTCTCCGTGTCAGCGCTCTATTTTGAGGTTATGTTACAAACATCTATTTGCATCAAATTGTGCTTGCTTTTGAGTTATATCATGTTTTATCAGCCTGAAATTTCCTACAATTTAAAAAGAAAACATATCTTCACAATACGAGAGCGCTGACGCTGACACGGGACAAGTGTAATCTAAACATTTTTGAAGGAGAGAAAGGAGTATGCCAATCAAGGAGGCCATAAACGCGCCCTACAATTGTAGGGACGACTGACGATACGGGCCTTAAATAATGAAAATATTGTACAGTATGTTACAAAAAATCGCTTTTCGTGTGTTTTGATCACACTGTAGAATACTGTAATGTATTGTTATTTATGTTGCAAAAAATGTCTAAAGCATTTTATACCTATATAGCATGCTGTTTTATATAATGTATGCCACAGGCCACAGACCCAAGCGCGGATCCGAGGGGCGGTCATGTGTGGGTTCTGTGATTAAGGTAGTTAACTTAAAATTCAGATATTCGGACAGGAGCATGAGAGAAAACCTTTTCGCGCGCGCCCTTAACGCTGTGAGCAAATTTAAAAAATAAAAATAAATGTTTTGACGGACAAAATCAGAGAAAAGCGGTTTCATTTGATTGAAAGATGTTACCTGCTCAGTCGCCGGAAGAGTATTTTCATAGGGCTGTGTACATCACCCTTCTAGACTGATCTTCAGGACTGACTATCCACAGAGGCAATTTATTTAAGTTAGGTGTTTTTATTCCGAGAATTACTTATACTAGTGAAGATCTAGAAACCGTTAATTAACACGCAATCGAGTACCAACCTCTGGCCAACCTTAATAATTGTGATTGAATATCGGCTGTGGATGGAAAAATGGCAGAAAATATTCCGTTGTCGATTTCTGCTCTTATTGAAAATTGCGATGAGGAAATGTATCCGAACATTAAAAACTTCTTATGTATCCTTGCTACATGACCAGAGCAGAGAGGTCCTTTTCTATGTACAATGTACATGTCGATACGGAAGAAGTCATATCTCGATTTGCAAGAAGACAAAAAAGAGTAATTAAATTTTGTTATTTAACAATAAAAATTTTCCTTTTAAATTGGATTTATTGTTTAAATCACCGTATCACAAAATTGATATTAGAAGGGATAGAATAGAAAAATAAAACATATAAATTGAATGTTACTTTATTGCAAGTGGGTCAGGGGATCAACTATACGATGTATTTCACCTCATTCGAATGCTCAAGTTGTATGATAACCTGCCGATCTTGCATCCATTAATTCATCTCAGACTATTAACTAAAAGGTACGAAAAATATAAAGGAAAATTATTGGAAGAAAACCAAGCTACATTAAGTACCATTCCTGTATTGGTAATTTGAAAATCGCAGTACAATGTAAACCACGTACATTCTTTCATTCATGATCGCGACCATTTACTGGTTCTCCCTTTTAAAAATGAAAGGTATCAAAAGAGCTAAGCGCATCGCAACTACACGAAATTAAATGATTAAATGTTAACGGTAATAACTTTTATATACATTCATAAGCAACGATACATTGATCCACCTTAAAAACTAATAAATATATATCTGTTTGGTTTCGCTTGTGCAACATATATAGACATATAATACTGCTGGTTAACCATCTTCCGCATATGCCAAGATTGATGATGATCCACACTTAATATAGAGGAAATATAATTCTTGTGATAACTTTCAAATATTATCAAATCTCCGGGATCCCATAGACCAAGAGATGTCTACATGTCAACCTAGTATTCAAATGAGGAGGCAAGCACTTATGTACGTATAAACATTGGTCTAAAATTCGTCAATTATTTTTTCTTTGGTGTGCAACATGGATCAAATGTCTAGATTTATGGCAGAAATCGCAGTTACCATTTTGATTTTATACGAGGTGAAATTCGGAAATTATTTACTACCAGGGTGTCTGGAGACATGCTGCCCGAACATGATCTTATAAGTTTGTGTTTTTCAATTGAAGATGTTAACCTACTTGTCAGCTGATTTGCACCCTTTAATATATAATGGCAATTCCGCGATATGGGTTGCCAGATTAATACTATCTTAGAAAAAATACGAACAATATCTTGGGATCCCTGACCAAACAAATACAACATTAATTTTTGCAAGAGTTTTATTTCACTTTTAACAGAAAACAATGTTAACGTATATGCACTGTATCCAAAATTTTCATGTCATACTGATGTCATTTGAATAATTTGCTAAACTTTTATAATCAAGGTAAGTTTGGAAAAAATTCAAAATATACCATTTTTTATTTATTGCGATTATACGCGAAATACAACAGGTGAATCCAGTATCAAAAAACAGTGCCACATTTATTTCGTAAATATGAGTCGCAGCTTATACTTATCTGAAGTTTCACATTTTCTATTTTATCATGAATTTTTGAGAATCTCATAATATCATATTGACACCAATTTTGGACACCCTGTATAAGATCTGGGTTTATACACTGGCAGTAATACAAAATGAGCATATGCAGAAGTGAAACTAGCAAAAAATCGTTTTTGGAGAGGTGCATGTGACCCGTAACATATATGGAAAAAATTATAGGATAATTCTTAAATAGTGCGACATTCTCCAAAAGCATAATATAATTATTACTCTTCTAAACATACTAAAGACTAGATTGGATATATTGCAAATAAATTTACAATGATATTGTTTTTTACACAGTTCACGTACTTTTATTTTATATACAGCAGAATAGTTTACGTACATTTCATAAGTCTTTCATATTAAAAAGTAATGTTGTTTCCAAAATGCTTTACAGACGTTTATATACCATATATCTAACATTGCAGTAAATGTCTGCCATGTTGGATCCGCCATTTTGGTTCTTTGGAAAATCGATACAACATTCGTTATCAGCGACCTGTAAACATGTCCGCCATACTGAATGCTCCATTTTGTGTTTCAAAAAATCGGTATTAAATTCGTTATCAGCGACATCGAAAGCATACAAAACTCGAATTTGAGCGCAATCCAAACATTTTTTTATAAATGTATCAACGATATATTGGATCTGCCATTTTGATTCCGGGGTATAATAGGTATTCGTTATCATCAACATAGAAAACATGTAAATGAAGCGTTATTTGGTGAAATTTTGTGAACCCCTCTAGTTTTATGACTTTGGAAGCAAAGTACGTGGTTTGCACAGCTGATAGAATGAAAATCCTCGCGGTCGGGCCGTGATGCCAGTCCGTATGACGTCATAGCCACGCGCCTGTCCGGAGCGGATAAGTGGGCACTTACCTTTAATATACTAAAAAAAAAAACGGTTTTCATGAAAAAAATTGGCTAGTTTTTTACTGGATATTATATGCCACGAAGTGTTTTAATTGTAGTCAGAGATACCACCTCTTTCGAAATATTGTAATTTTGCCTATTTGGAAATTTGCCGTAAAGCATTTTGAAAAAATGTTATTGCAGGTAAAATGTAACAAGTATACTTGAAAACAATTAATAATTAAGGTCAGTCGGATAAATATACAAATATATACACTGTAAAAAATATAATAAGGCAGATATTAAATAAAAAAATACAACGTAAAAAAATAAAATCCAGGCTAGATTATATTTCCATTTCAATAAACGAGCACATAAAATTTCTTATAGATCGATTAAATGAATAATGTACAATCTATTCTAATGAAAGATGCTGTAATATACAGCACACGTCAAAAGTGAAGAATCATTCATAAATCCAGTTGTTCTAGGAATTTTGAACTCTTTCTGACCAATTCAGCATCGATTCCATACCTTTGACTAGCAGTGTATAATATAAACGAATAAAAAATAGCATTGAAGTGCAAGCTATTTCAGCCAGGAACCATTTTTGTGCATTGTTAGTAGGTACATATATAATTGATAAATAATACTTTTGTCCTTAAATAACAACTTATCGTTTCTTGACTAGATTTTTATTTTTTTAGATCACTGCAAAAATCCCCAACAGGCTTATTCTGTAGACATGTAAACTTCGTAGCTTTATTCATATTGGAAAAGTTTTTAAGCTATCACAAAGGATACATGCAAGCATTTATAGCTTCAATATTCACTAAAGTCTGATTAGTTTAGGTTCAATTCCAAATTCCAAATAGGCCCAGATTCTAAACGCGCCTATAAACCGTTGGTTCGGTTCAAATAAAGAATTTTTTGGTATAATTCTGAGAAACAACCAACAATTACATTTTGACAATGGTAAAGCGTGAACCTTAGTTATGGTGAACCATGGATATTAAAAGTTCCACGCTCTCTGGGCCTAAAACGATCATATTCCCGACTGTATGAAGTAGTTAGAAACAAACAGAAAACATGATAGGTCAGAAATGAACACTTAAAGCGTTATTGTGTCTCCACATACTAAGAACATATACACAAATACATAGATAATATCACTGATGAGTGCTAACGTGTCTACAATAGCGTTCTACGATATGTATATATCCAAATTCATTCCATATCATGCTCCAATTATGGTATTTTATATCTCATTGTATTCCATTCTCTCATAAGTAGATATATGTTACATTTTACAAATTTGAAATGGTTTTTCTCTTTGCTTTGTCCACAGTGCTGGAATAGCAAATGATTATCTTTATAAACTCCACAGTGTAATCTTCTTAGATAGTTCTTGCAAGTACAGGTATCATGGTACGCCACTGATAACGCAAAGACACACATGTGAACCAGTAGCGACATTACGTTACCATGTTAGTACTTGACATAATACAGTGAAGTTGACATCTAAACAATGGGCTAGTTGACACTTCTTTAAGTAGGTCTTAATTAGTTATGATTTGTTATATTACACCAAAAAAATACTATATTTTTAGACCTTAAAGACTGTTAAACTTTAATTTAAAAATAATTTTTTTTAGATACCTAGGCGAACTCGCTATCCGCCATGTTTGACCAATATTAATGTGCTCTGAGGTCATACCATTTGTAAACAGCAGCTGACAACAGCATAACCTTTAAAACTTCTAAACATAACTTCTACTAGTTTACATGAAAAATACAGTAATTACCGTTATTGCATCGTTCGAGAATGTAAAAACACATTGGTAAAGATCCCAGGAAAGTTGTGGATTATAGCTTGCTCAGGGAAATAAATATGCGCAACACTGTGTATTGTTTAGAGCATACCATATGTTCGGGACATATTTTATATTTTACTTTGCAGATTTTATCGTCTCGTTTGGAGTTGGAATATCTGATAACATTATTCAGAGCTTAAGCTAGTTTTGCAGGTCTTCTGAAAAGGAAGATTATGTGAGTGTATTACTTATTCTTTCTTTTTATGTCTATCATTATATCAGATGCACTGTACTTTCATAGAAGTTTTGAGGTTCATCATCCCAAACAAATTATTTACCATCGATGTGTCAATTTTCGGCAAATATGAGGTTTCTGCTTTCACGAATCCAACGTGTACGAGTGTTTTTCAATAAAACGAGATAACGATAACTTTTTATATTGATTAGGAGTTTGTATGACGTCAGATCATGGCTGATAGTTGTATTTTTTAAACTGGACTTATATATACTTCTTGCGATTTTAAAAGTTGAAATCGATATATTTAGTTTTTTCGTTTTCTTACAGTGGCGGCTCGTGATTTTACAAATAGGTGACGCAGGATTGACCGACCCCCCCCATACCATGTAGAGCGCATACACAAAAAAAAAACATGAAATAACTTACCTAAATTCAGTAACTCGAAAACAAAGTCAGGATTATCAGGCACTTTTCATTGTTTATATATGAGAGCAATTCGTCGGTCCTTCAAATTAGCAAACTTATTTATAACGTCATCGTAAAACGGCTGTGACACTATCAGTTCATTTAATAATTCTTTTTCGATCGATATTTTTGCCAAGTTCGTCAACCGATCTTCCGACATGGTACTTCGTAGATAACTTTTGATTCGCTTAAGGCATGAAAAACTGCGTTCTGTCGAAACACTTGTTGATGGAATGGTCAGTATTAAACACAAAAGCTTATATGCCTCCTTGAAGATACTGCGATTCTCAAATAGCGATTCCTTTAATAAGCGGGGTTCCATATTTTGATATTGATCATCGCTATAGATCAGCTGCAATTCATTTTTCAGTCTCTGAAAATCTGTGAATGTATTTGAATAAAACTCCTTCAAATTACTTAGGGCTTCTGTTGGAAATTTTTCTGAATATGTTTTGAACTTCGAAGTGTCCATTAACGTCACAAAATGAAGCTTTTCCATATCTTGGAAACGGGTCGTGATTTGCAGAGAAATGGTATCCAAAATTTCAAAATACAGCACTCTATATCTTTCAATAATTTGATCCCGAGACAATGTTACTCTTGTCCTGCCGTCGCGGTGTTCCGTTTGTACACTTGTTTTTGATGCAGCCAATTCGAAAATATTCTTAAATGTTTCTTCATTTCTCTTCTTGTTTAATTGTGTTTGAACACTTTTAATTTGCTTAATGCAAAGGTTTATATCAAAAGATTTTTTTTGCAGTGTGTCGAATAGTATATCTGTCATTCCAAAGATCTCGTTAAAAACAACAACCAAAAGCACGAATTCGAAGTCATGGAATTTATTTAGAAATCCGTCGCTCTGTCTAACCGAGGCTTGATCGGAGGTTGGATCATTAATAATTTCAGTAAACACTTGCTTTAAGGAATCCCACTCCTTATTTATAAAACTGATAACTTTAGAATTTGATGTCCATCGCGTAATAACGGAAACAGGTATTCGACGTCCTATTATTGAGTCTGCTACGTTAGTTCGTTTCGGAGAATGGTGAAAAAATGTCGGTAAACCACTTATAGTTGCAAAAAAAATGCGGCATTTTGTAATACTATTGCAACTTTGTTGTAACACTAGATTCATGCGGTGTGCGAGGCAATGAACAAAAACTGCTTGGGGTGCCTGTTCCTTTATTTTAGCCTGAAGACCATTTAACTGTCCGGACATGACGCTTGCACCATCGAAACATTGTCCAACGAGTTTTGTTTTGTAATCAAAATTTTGTAGACACCTTGTCACGAGGTTAAATAATGCTTCAGATGTTCGGCTGCAGCTTACATCATGAAATCCTAAAAATCTCTCCACAAGTTTTCCTTCAAGATTGACATAACGGATTATTATGCTGCACTGCGATTTGTGGGCAATATCGGTGGAATCATCCACCTGAATGGAAAAAAAACTGCATTCCTTTATTTCATTTTCCACATATTCATCAATGCATTTGACAATGCAGTCAATAATTTCGTTTTGAATGGTTTTAGAATTGCCCGCAAATATTGAGGCAATTTTTTTGTAGTGCTCCTGAATGTCTACAGGGCTTATAGATACAAATGCTTCTAGGAGCTCTTTGAAATTTCCACGGTTAATAGAAGTCGTCTCTTCGTTGTGGCCACGAAACGCCAGTTCTTGTTTGCCCAAAAAAAGGACAGCGCGTATTGGCAATTCCATGAAACGTCTATTAAGTTGCACGTTTTCGTTAAACTGTTTAATATACAGCCTGGAATTTTCGCGTAAAGCATCCTCAATAGTAGTGAGATTTTTCTTCAATTTTGAAAAACCTAGTGCGCAACGCATATGATCCGATGATCCTTCATGTTTACGAAGAGCACGAGTCACATTTCCGAAATCATTGAAACCGTACTTGCTCCACACGGTTGCTTTAACACTTACAATCAAACACGGCACACAAAAAAGTTTATTTAAATAATAGCTACCACATAACCATTCAAACTCACTATACCACGATTTTTTAAAATTTCGACTGTACACTTTGTCCTTAACTTTAGCGGTTTTATTTACATTTAATATCGGAGAAGGTTTTTCGGAGTTTAAAAAGTCTTTTTTATCATCATTACTCCATTGAGAAAACGATTTTTCCAACATAACACAAACCGTATCATAGACAGGAAACATTGTTCAAAACAATGAAAACTAACCTCGACACAATACGATATCGGTAGTAATGCAGAGCAGACTAGACGCAAATTCATAATTTGCTTTACTTGCCTCGGCCAAAACGGAAGCGCGCGTGCCGTTGTCATGGCAACCGTCGTATTTGCTCGTATCTGTACTGGACGCAGCAATGCGGTGCAAATAAAGCTGCTTCAGGTCTCTGTTTCAACACGCCAAATTAAGCGCAAACGTAGGCGCGTTGTTGGTTGCGGGGTTTCTCAGTATTCTGTTGATCGCAAATACAAATAAAGAATGTCCGAAAAATAATTTTTTAAGATATAAATGAATTTTTTTTATAAATTTCAAAATAAAAAAAATATATTTTTTTTGAAATTGCAGGTGAAGCAGCGCTTCACCTGCGTCATGGGGCGAGCCGCCACTGTTTAATGCAAATACTTCAAGAAATACTCATTTATTCTATGGAATTAAATGCGACTCAAATTGCCCGCAGAAAATTAATCAAAGAATCACTGTTGAAATTATGAGACTAAGATGACTGAAATAGTTCCCTGCGAACCAGATTAAGATAGTTCCTTTTTTTCGCGAGACACGGGACACGCAATCACAACGTTCTATTTAAGTTTGTTCGTCAATTTCGACAATCTGTCTTGCTGACAATGAGTTGAAGGTATTTCTCAAGTTAAATGCCAAGTTCTGAGATCACTAGAGGACGGGACAGCAACTACACTCTAGTTCCATATCCTTCTAGGAGGAATTACCGAACATGTCCTTAAATTCCGGTCCAGAATGGCGGCTACTTGCATAATTCTGACAGCAGTTGTACGCTAGATAAGCTGTGGAAACGTCAATTTTCTATTTCAGCACTGCAGAAACCCGTTCTCAAAAATAAACTAATCAGACGTCTGAATTTCTGAACAGATAACATCAGTCTTGCGTTTCGCCATAACTATCGGTATACACGGTATATATAGGGAAGATACGGGAGGTACAAACATGGAAAATCGAAAAGTTCGTGTCGCAAAACTTCAATGCAACGTCACAGTGCTTGCAAGGCATAGATAAGTCACAAAAAGCACGTATTTTACAGTTGTGCTGCCCGCCTTTTGAGGCAACGCCACGTTTAGCATCGATTCTACCTGAATATAGGCAATCATATGCGTATTACACCGCCCAAAAGGTGATCTGAAAGATAACCGCTATGAGACAATAGCGGAAAACAAAAATGAATTTAGAAATCTAGTTTGAAAAAAGTTAGTGTATGGTTAGCCGTAGTTCATCACAAACATCGTCTAGAATTGGAGTGCGTGAATACTTTTGACGCCTCTCTAATGTCGATGTTATTTGAGCATCTTAAGGTTAGTTAGTTTACGCCTGAATAGGGATTGAAGGTCATAGCGCCATCTATGACACAGTAGCAGAACCAAACATCCTAATCCTTTTCAAAGTTCCTAAATTATTTTTTTCATACTGCTACTGTGTCATTGATGGCACTAGTAGCACTCAGATGCCTTTTGGCACGTTGGAATACAGTATATGGTTGGCTATATTCGGGTAGAATAAATTAAGATTGTAATAAAATTTGATTTCGCGAACTGTCGATTTGTCATCTGTGTACATGTAGAAGGTGTTAGTAATTGACACTACGTCCGCGTATGTTATGACATATGACACGTGATGATGCGGCTTAAGCGTACGACTCGCTCAGATGGTCCAATAAGAAATCGAATTGGTGGTAGCGGGGGGTATCTGATACGAGCGAAGTGCCGTTCAGCGCGCTCAAGCGGTACTGCTCGCTGAACGACATCAAAATGTCGCGAATCTTTGCAATGATCTCTTCCACTCAGGCGTTTGATTCCTGTAACAGAAAAACAAAGTTAAGGATGGTCAAGTATTGAAATGAATGAGAGTAGCATAAAGCCGACGTACGCGCGCTGCTAACGCGGTACTGTCGCTTTTGAAGTGGTGCTTGACTGTACTCTGGTTAATGACTATGCGTTGGATGGAAATGAGTTTGCAAAATGTGAGCACCGCACTTTATGAACAGATATCAACTGAGAAGATGTCAAATAATGATAATCATAATCCGGATCTTGCAGGGCCACTTTGTGGTCAATTTTTTTAATTACCTCCCCTCTTAAGCAATTACAAAAAAGTAGTCTTTTTGGAGCTATGAGCCATTCACAGTCAGACCTTCCTTGAGGCTTGAGGTTTCCTTTAAAGTAACGGATATGCCCTTCTAAACAGTGAAACAATCACGCTCCCTTGAGGAATGTTCAAGGGAGAATTTGAATTTTCATTTCACAGTAGGCTGTAACAGTTGTCATGACAAGGTGTTACCGATTCAGAAAGATTTGTCTTTGCTGACCGTATCTATTGAAGATTTTGATGGTAAAATTGGGATGATTTGGTTTATTTACCAATAAGCATTAAACAAATGCAAATGTTTGCTTCCTCGTATTTTGGCATAATCACAGAGATACAAAAAGATGCAAATAGGCAACCAGTTGCACTTATCAAAATGCTTAATAGCCAGCAAAGAAAAATCTGTCTGACATCGATGACAGCTTGTGATGTCTGTTACAACCTACTGTGAAATAAAAATTTAAAACATCCCTTGAACGTTCCTCAAGGAAGCGTCATTGTTTTATACTTGTTCCAGTGAGAGATCCATTGTTTCCAAGGAAGCCTCAAGCCTCAAGGAAGGTCTAGAAATCTGACTCTAAATGACTCGAAAACCCAAAAACTGGCCATCTTCAATCATTAAAGTCCCTAAAGAGTATTTTAAAATGGATATATTTGAAACTGATTTGTAATCTAGTTTGTTAGGCCAAAATTGGCGAACGACTGTACATACCACCTTCATTAAATTGAAGCCGAAATCAATGTTTTGTTTATAGCAAAGTGTGTATCGGCAGTTAACTTTTTTTAAACATACAGGGCGTCCCAAAAGTTATGGAAATGTGGTGATAGAGAGTCATTTCCAATCAGAAAAGAGTTTTTCAGAAATTAAATGGATGATTATTATTATTATTATTATTATAGCTCAAAAATGACCAACTTTAGAGAAAAGTTACTGAGGCACTTTTTGTTCAGGATAATCCGAGAAGGGTATTAAAAAATAGACCAAAAAGTGGACCGGCAAAATCTGGATTATTATTCTTTGACCTCTTCTTAGTTGATTTGTGTTCATAAAGTGCGATCCTCACATTTTGCAAGTTCAGTTCCATCTAGTGCCTGGTCTATAATGGAAACCCTAATTAGTTGGAATTAGTTGGAATACGAATTTCAAGCACGTTTCCAACATTTCCAACATATGAGCGAAAAAAATAAGGATTATCTCTGGAAAATGGCAATACATTTATGTTTGCTATTAAGAATGAAATATTATTAGAGTTGAAAATACCATATTTTCTAACCTAAGACTTTTTAAATGCTCAAACGTATTTTTTAGCTGAATCTAAAGTCACCAGAAAGTTGAAAAATTCCGAAGAAAAACCATGTTTAGATTTTTTGAAAATACTGAACATAACATTTTTGATTACACCACCACTGGAAATTAGAAAATACACAAATGCAGTGTTTAGGGAAGCTCTTTTTTTGTTATTTTGTGGACCAACCTTCAAATTCTCGAAGTAGTGCATGATCTGATCATAATCCATATCAAGCTGCAAGTCGTCTCCAAGATCAGATGGCAACTTTTCTGTGGACGCATTTTCGTTTGCGTTGAACATTCTATTTTCGACAACAGTTGCCTGTTTTACGCCTCCACTGTTTCTGTTGCCTGAAAATTGAATTGAACTGTAACAATACCCTGCTTGCTGTAAATCGTTCTTAGCATTTTTTAATCAAGAACCGTTTTGTAATAGAGTCGGAGAAACTTTATTTATGAACGAAAATTGTATCACAAACCAAAATATGAACATTTTTTCATTTTTCAACATAATCATCATTTAAACATTTGTCGATTCGTAGCACCTGCTTTTGGGTCGCGTCGTCAAAGAACGCTGCCGCTCGACCGTAAAACCAGTTAGTAACTGTTTCTTTCAACATGTCGTCATTTTCGAGCGCTTTCCACCAAGAAGCTTCTTAACATGCAAGCAACAGCGACATATGCGTGAAAAGTAATGGCAGCATAGTGAAAGACTGGCCGAGTGTGACAAAGGTTGGACGGACGTCACGTGACAGGATAAGCGCGCGCGATGCGCAAACGGTTCTTACTTTAAAAATGGCCCTCGTATTTTCTCCGCCTCTGGAGTAAAGTTTTCGGGTGATGTTGCCGCGTTGCACATTTTAGGTTTCTGGAGCGAAACTGTACACGTGCTAGCAAACCATATTGAAATTAAAGAGAATATTTTAAATTTAAGGTTCATATATCCATTATAGTAACGATTCCCTTATATAGAGTGACATTTGTACCAAAGCTGATAGGTGTAGGTACTTGACTAGCTATCGTTACGATATAATACATTATATCATTGATTAACCTGAAGGCTATACCGGGTGCATCCTAATTGAATGTCAATATTTAAGGGGACGATTTTTGGGTCAGTTTTATGAACGTATGTCCTAAACGTTTCTTAACTTTTGAGATACAGGGTGGTTGGTAAAATTATCATACTGATTTTTTTAAGATAAGAGAACACTTAAACCTGTATTCATTTATGAGCAGATTTTATCTCCTGAATTTTTTCGACGTATGGTTTTCACGTATGCAGAGAAACGTGCATCGGATTGAAAAAATCAAGCAATCAAATTTGCTTAGAAATGACTCATAAAAAGTGTCTTACTGAGTAGTGGTACAGCTCCACAAGACACTTAATCAGGCTTTTTTTAATACTATGTCATTCTGAGTCTTTTAAGCTCAGAGGGAAGCTTATTATAGATTTTTATATAGGCATACTCAGTTGAGTTTTCAAACATTGTTAATGCATGTGATGGTATGCTCAAATATCCATGCCAGCTCTTGTTCTGTAACGAACATTTATATCTTTAGTTTTAAGAAACCTACAGTGTGTGAGGTCTTGTTGCCGTTTTCGGTAAAAAGTAATGTTAACATCACCGTGGAGACGATTCCATCCTTTTAATCTTGACGCTAAACGTTCTGAATGGGATTTTGGCAGATTTAATTCGCGAACTAAGTCATTAAGTTCGCCCTGTGTGAATAAATGCGGCGCTGTTGAACATTATGGCAGGTCAAACGAAGGATCGGAAATTTTTACGCTTTCTGTACCATCACTTTCAGAATCGGTGGATTCGACTTTTTCATCCAAAGACCAAGATTCTGGTGGAACTGGGACAGAAAGTCCAAAGCTGATGGTAAATTAAAATACTTAACAGTATGTTTTGATTTTGGTCCAATAGTATGTGGTATGGTCTCTCGGTTCTCTCCAAACCATTTTACGATTGTCGCCTCTTAACCAACCTGTCAACAACGTTGCACAAGTCTTACAACATATATGAGGGGCCCATAGTTTACCTTGGTCGCCAACTTTAATTCCAAAAAACACAAGCGGAGTGAAAGTACGTTTTTGGGATTACGGCAACGGTTTGGGAGTGGTGCGGAAAGTCAGAGTTTATATATAGACCCTTAGGACATATGTTTTCTTGGACGTAAAAATGGTGCCTTCAAATATTGTCATTCAAATAAGAAACTGTGTTCTGGATGGCAAAAAGGGATCTGCGATCCTACCACCTTCTAAGAAAACATTAGCAAAAGCGTCTTTGGTTCTGCTACTGTCTCATAGATGGCGCTAAGATCTTTCAGATTTTTTTGGGCGCCAGAATACAGTATATAGTTGACTGCCTTCAGGTAGAATTCGTTACACTTACTATTAGCATTTGGTGATCTAGGATACTGGATGAACTCCATTTTGTCTTCTTTTTTGTTGTCAACTTGCAGCTCATCGTCAAATTCGAACATGTTTCCTGCAGTTTCATCGTCGTCATCACTAACATCATCGTCTACCATCATGGTTGCTACAGGTCTGCCAGGTGGTGAAGAGTGTGGACTTTTGATTTCCATAGAAAACCTGTTACCAAACATTCTGTTTTGATATATACCTCTACAATAGTCTGTGTAGTGTTTTTGAGTAAGTATAGTTTCAATGAGAAATCGAAAGCTGGACTCTACCTACCTTTTGCTGTTCGCTTTCTCCTTGCTGCTCTTGGCATGGTGTCTTCTCATGGGTACGGGGGCTGGTTCAGTGGGGGTTGGAGTCCTACCGTTGCTGCCCGAAGTGCTTATTATGTTACGATGTGGTGGAATCGGAGGTCGGTAGTCGTCATCTTCAAGAACGTGAGCAGGAGATGAGTTCACCAGTGGCGTAGCGTGAGGGGGCAGCGGTGGAGGGGCATTGGGTTTGTTCCTGAAACTTCAGTGTGATAACGGTGGAGATAACGTGAACAGAAGTGAAAATTCCAACAAGAATTGAGTAGAGGGACGGAACAGAGGAAAGGTGATTTTAGAGGAGGCTGGATAGGATCGGTTGTTTTCCGTCTTTGCTACCTTAACCAACCGTATACAACGTTGTTTCATGCTATTTGCATAGAACGTCAGTGTTGAGTGACAATCAATATGGTGGATGCTTCATGTTTGGCTCCATAGAAGCAAACACTGTCATTTCTATGCCATACATAGACAAGAAACATGTCTTGAGACGCCAAGAAAGAATGAGTGAAGCAAACATCGCAAAGTAGGAAGGTTAGAACTTTCATTCATCTTCATCCAGTCGTATGGTGAGGCTCATATCGTTGCTCTTGATAACACGAAAGCGTTCGATCAGCCTAGGGATGATGCCCTCTGCCTCTTCCTCCATCTTATGGCCACCCAGAGAAGGTTTGCATTTGTGGCTGACTTTCTCTCTGGCCGTAAGATATCCGTTGTAATTGACTGCTTTTGCCAAAGGGCTGTCCGACTAATCGATGATTCTTCTTAAGGTACCCAATGGCAGCGGCGGGCCGTCGGCGATCCAGCTCTCTTCTACTGCTACTCCAACAGGCTTTGCTCCTCAGATATCTCCTCCAAGATGCCGCCGCGCAATGTGCCAGACAGACCCGCCTGACTTTGACCACCCATCCTAACCGTGTTGAACTTCGTACGTCCATAACTGGCCGATACGGCCACTCTTTTGTCCCGAGGGTGTTGAGATTGTGGAACAGTCTACAAGAGGAGGCTTTTTCCAGTTCTGCTCACCTTAGGCAGTTCAAAAGTCGGATTAACAAAATTTCTTTGGGATCTTCATAGCAGCCGCGGTGACCTGGCTTCTGCTTGTGCGGCTGCTTCGATGTAAAAAAACCAAGAGGCAACAACTTGTTGGGAACCCTGAATTGCTAAGAGGTTTGAGACCTTTGTATTGGATACTATAAAAACTATAAAAGAAAGCAAAACCAATTTACACGTTACATTGCAATGGAGGGGGAGCACAGTCGGACGTTTATAAGGTAGAGAGCACAGTTAAAAAGGATTTTTCTGTTTTTATTACAAACTGCAATATACTGTGCCTGATATAGCCTGTCCTTGTTTTTGTATAAATAAAGATTTTCGTAAATTCACGTGTGTTTTCAAATTTTCCTTACCATGCACTTCCATTATCCCTCTCTCTATCCACCTTGCTTCTGCTATAAGTGGTAGAATCGATGCCTCTTGGTTTCACTTCGGTTTTGCTTGGTAACTCTACATGGTTCGGATTGCTAAAGCATGTCGCTAAGCTGTCGTCCGGTTCACAGTAGTTCGTGTTCAGGGGATTTGTTATTATTCGAACATCTAAAAAAAAAATGTAGTTAATTATTTTATAATTTTGAAGCGAATTAGAATACAAATTTCAACTCCCAGCCTTCCTAGCTAACAGATTAAGGTCAAACGAAAATTGGTCTTTTAATACACCTGTGTCCTTATTGATTTAAAGAAGGCAGTTGATACAGTTGAACACAAAGAATTACTAACTACTTAGGAGAATCTAGGATTTCGTGGCAAAACGCATATTTTGCTCAAAAGATAGTGTGTGAAAGTTAATAATTCCATCAGCGACCTTCACCACGTAACATACGGTATCCCACAAAGTTGCAGTCTTAGGACCTATCCTGTTCAACCTATATGTAAACACAGTAAAATTATCGGGTTGGCAGATGATACGGCTGTGTTTCATAGTGATAAATCTTGGAATACCTTAAAGACACTTATTCAAGAGGATTTCAAAGACACCATAAGCTTCTTAAATAATAAAATATTAACAATCAATTATGAAAAAACCTAATACCTGACTTTTTCATGCGATGATAGAAACTGTCCCACATTCACTAACATATAGTACATATCAAATTTCTAACTATGGTTGAAGTAGTAGTACCAAAGTCAGCAAATCATAAAAAACACTTAGGAATCATCATAGATAGCCATCTAAAATCCATATCCAACTGATATGAAAGCTAAGTTCACGTAGTTTAGAAATTGAAAAAAAATGCAAAAATCTAGCTCACTAAATTAGGTCTAGATAATTTTTGTTATGCTTCATATTTGTTAAGCAGATATATGAGATATTCCGGATAATAATTGTATTATTAACACTTTGAGATACGAGTGAAGGTGATGCACATTACAAACGTTATCGTGGAAACCTATAATAAACATGCACCTGTTAAAACTGTAAGAGTCAATAAGCCGCCATCACCTTAATGAATGAACTGCGCACTGTTCTTAATGAAAAGAATACTGCACAAGCTTTATATAAATCTAATAAGACCGTGGACGCCTATAATAACTTCAAATCGATTGAAAACCGTGCTCTTAACATGATAAGGAGGGATAAAAAGACATATATTGAAAATTTCGCAAATGAAAATGATTCAAAAAAATTGTGGAAGTCTCTCAAACAAATTTATATGGATTTCCGTAGTAAACCAATCCTTCCAGCAAGTTTTAATGACCCTACCAAAATTAATGACTATTTTATATCTGTTTATAGCTACAAACCTGTTGATTCCCTAGTCTGCGAGGACTATTCCAAAAATAAATTGAGCTCTGAATATATTTTTTTCATTGAAAAAGATTAGTTCAAATGACCAATTACAGGCATTGGGAAGCCTAAAATCTGATGCGAAGGGAATTGATGGTATATCCCGTTCTAAACTGGTTAAAAATTAATGACATGGTCAAGTATCACTATTCAGCTTTTGTTCGCAAATAGCTGCTCACGTCTAAACCCTTTTACTTGAGGGAAAAATTTCATTTAATAATGATGTTCACTGTAGAACTCTCAGAGAAAATAATATTAGAATACGTTTACACTTTTTAAGCGCAGTTTTTCTTACAATGTTGCTATTATTTATAATGACCTTCCTAAAGTATATAAAGAATATTCATTACCTGTCTTTCGACAAAAAGTTAAAACATTATTACTAAACCCTCCAAACATATAATTTACGTAATCATTCATTTCTTTTTTATTCCGTCTTTAATTCAGGTTAATAATTTTTTGGTGTACTTGGGTTTGGAAAGTATGCCTTTTTCTTTTTTTAATTTTTACTTTCGATGTAATGAACCCTGTTTGTTGTTTTTCTTTTGAGCGAATGTCGGTCTTCTTCCAACTAGAGTGTAAAGTGAGGCTCAGTTTTCATAATACAAAGAAAATTTGAGCATGTATACAACCCTTTTTTCACTGGAGTCGATGCGACCTTTTTTGCTATAGTTATTTAATACATGATACTAAATGGGTGACGAACATCTTCTACTCATAATATACAACAAAATAAGTGAAATGATTTTACTGTATCTATTACCGTTGTTCTTATATTTCCTTCTGGCTTGTGAATGCGAAGACGTTGCTAGTAAAATAGGGACCTTAGTACCACTCAATAAAGATGTGTTTATTATGTGTCAAATAATATATGTAATGTGTTTCCATATCAAATATTCATAAAATATTTCGTTTATAATTCTCTAAGTCAAAGATGGACAATCAGTACGTAAATAAAGGTTTGTAGTCTGCTGTTTGTTTTAAGGATGTGATGGAATTTGACGTTTCTTTTGGAATTATTGTTTTTCGAGATATCATATTTAGCCTAGCATGTAATGTGATTCTAGTAAAACCAACAAAAATATTTTGGTGTGCCACAATATGATTAATTATTTCGTCAGTATTATCTGTATTCATGAAAATTTAATGTTACTTATCCCACATTATGCATCCAGAGTCTGTACACGAAATAGGGGACACACATTCACGAGGTTAGAGACAAGTTGAAATTTTATTACGAAATAAAAAAAGGGTTTCTAAAAAGAATATCTGAAAAAATATTGCAAACCAGTATTTGCACTTGACCACTCTCGAAATGTCTGCCTTTGTGAAAAAAAGTTCATCTTGAGATCTTAACAGAAGTTTTATGAAAAAATCAAGGAAATGAAAAGTTCCTTAACATCCCGAAGTTTGGGACATTTACCTTACTTGCAATCGTGCGCAATCGCTGTAGTTAGTCACTGAAAGTTGTTGAACTTCACGATGTGGTGTCATAGTGTAAAAACTTCTATTAGATTTTCGAAAGTCACTGCATTGGTGGCGGGGAAATTAACAACAAGCAAAGCTACTAAAACATCCTCAAACTAAAAATTTTATATTTTCTAAGCTCGTGAACATTTAAGTGTAGCATAAAAATTCGCTCCAGAGAAATCACTTACCATTATTATTAAGGTTGGCCGAGTTCCTGTTAGAGTTATCAACGGTTGCTCTTCCAAGCCAGACCCAATCATGCGCGTTGGTGGTAGAGTCACGTGGCTTTCGGAATGGCTTCTCGTGTAACATCGTTATGTTGCTGGGATATTCCGGTAGAGGGCGCACACCTGCAACTACGCCTGCATCCATTGGCTTGAATTTCGAGGCGTATACCACGCAGGACACCACGAACACCTACGATAAAAACAGTGGTATTTCTAACACTTAAGTTTCATAATACTCATTTTAGGAATATTTAACCACTGTAAACCAATGCACATCCTCCTGTACTCCCGACAGATGCACCAACTGTTTTAATTACCATGACAGACTGTCTACATCAATTTTTGGAAGCTGCTCCAAACGCAAGGGCGGATTTGGACGGAGGCGCGCGTAAGTCTGATATTTTTTCCAAGAAAATGGTATCTGTAGCTGTATCTTGGTATAAAAATAACCTGAATCTCGAGTCGTGCTTCCCAATAGACATATCCTACACCCCGCTCATAATTTGCAACAAAGACATTTGGTCTCAGAAGCGCTGTTTAAGTGCTTAAGTATGCAGAGCTCTGCCACACCCCCCTTCCCTCCCGCAACCGTTTGTGATGAACATGAAAAATATTATTAAGTAAGAATTGATTAGTGGTACTTACCGCTATGGCACAACAGAAAGCAGCTAATAGGACATACATGCTGATTTCCAATGGAGTTGAATGAGTCAAATTTACTTTTTTGGGAACTCCTTTACCCTGATACTGCCGAGCTTGGACGTTCGGAATTTGAGAGTGGACTCCATCTTTTAAAGAACCTGCAATAAAGAAAATTTCCCAATTAGCTGAAGTTTCTCCTTTCCACCCTCTATAACATGTTGGAACGATGGAAGATGGAGTGGTTACATCAGGTTTTCAAAAGAACGGCTTAATGCCCGGGGGGGAAGGGGGGGCTCTAGTTAGGTTGAGAGTTATTTCTAAGATTCACGTCGATAGATGTCAAAACAAGATCAGGTGGTGAAAAATAGCTTATCTTCCTATCAAATTTGTGTGTTTGTTTGTTGAACATCTATTTAGCAATAATGCTACTATGTCAGTTTTATATAATTACTCGTTTACACATTTTTTGAATCAATTTTCTGCAATCTTACATTCAAATCTATTAAAATTACATCACCCTGCATTTTGAGTATTCGTCAAGCGATTTTTCAATTTCACCTTAAACATTTTTAAATTCGAACACTGTTAAATAATTTTCCAAACGTCGTGGTATCAAAGGATTTTTTAATTTGAATATGAAAATGAGAAGTAAATTACATATAAATGTTTTTACATTCAACCACTGTAGTTATTCTAACATAGACTTAATCTTAGGCATATTTGTTTTTATTTAAAACGATTCTCATAGCTTTATTTTCTAGAATTTGTAATTTTTAAATAAGTTTTCATTTGCTGTAAACAAGAAGAATTGCAGTGTAATACACATTTTTTTGGAATACATATTGATATTATGGGAAAGTCTATAGCCGTAAAAATAATTATCATTTATATATACTATAATGAATAGTAACAGCCGTAATTTACACCCCTCTGGCACCTCTACGGACTTTTATTTACTAATACTTTTATAAAATATTTAACACTGATCCTTTAAAATCATGGTGATGTAATGATAAATGGTTTTACTGATACAGTACATTTTTTTTCATATATACTTCTCAGTCTTCCACCACCATTTTTATTGCTGTTTCTGTGGAATACTTTTTTTTATAAATCCAGCTTAATATTTTGTAAAAATTTTGTTTTCTTCGATGAATTCAGTGATTTGTTCGTATATTGTCCATTCGAACAGCTTCTCGATATCTGGCAAGACATTAATCGGTCGCTTAATGGTGGAACACTTAAATTTTGATGGGAATGCGCCATGGACTAAACAATGATTCACCAATAATAATAATTTCTCTACAATTATACCGAAACAATAATTTAGAATCTTCATCCCATCTATTTTTGTTAGTTTAACCCACAAGAAGACAAACGCCGCCCAGCGGGAGCAAAATTGAACATCGCTGCCAAGTTTGATGAACCTGTTGAGCATGCTCAGCAGGAGTATTATAGAGTAGATGTCAAGTATCATTGACTTCTTGATAGAAATAGACATACCTCCAGCAATATCTTCCATGTCAACAAACTCCCTGCCTTTGCCTCCACTAAAGCTTCCACCATCATTCTGCAGGATGTCCGGTCTGTGTTGCAACTCTCCTTCGCTAAAGTCGACCGTTATCTTAGCAGCTGCCGTTGCCAAAGGACTCGCACTTTTGCCTTTTGGTTTGCCCTGAGATCTACATTCGTCTGCTAACAACAGTGTCACCTGAAATCAATTTTATCGGTGTTTCAACTTTTAACTGTTTAGGTATCACATCTTAGTATTTACAACTTGATATGATTCAAGCATATTTCCGTTTCTCACTTTCGAATAAACTAACCTGTAGTAAATCTCCACTGCCTTCTCCAACGGCGATGACTCGTGGGTGATGTGATGCCACAATTGGAGCAAAAGCCACAATTTCAGGATCCAGGGACTCAACCACAAGGTGGTAGTCAGTGTCAGATATGTCACGTAGCGGTATCTTAGTACCGTCTGAGAATTCTAGTTCGATGTCTAGAAGACCCTCCTATAACAAATAAAAATAAAATACTTAAGTTTCTGCACATGAAAGTGAACAATCGGACATGTTTGCTTTCCGTCTTCCGCAACCATCACCAATCGCAGACAGCGCTGCTTCGGGCTCATTAGCAACTCATCAGAATGGTATAATAGGTCTTAGGTCTAGTCTTAGAGACAGCCGAAACGGAAAGCAAACAAGTGTCTTTTGAAAAACTCAAGACATTGTGCGCTAGTAGGTGAAAAATCTGACGAACGCCAACTACTAATGCTTCGCCAAAGCTGATTCTTCATCATGATCTCGCACGATGAAGACGACAGAGATGCCCTTATGCACTCTAGTTACATGTAGACTTTTGGGCTCCGGTTGACATCCGTCCGGTGTTGACTCATAACACTCTTATAAATTCCTACTATAGGAGCAAATGGAGATATGGTTTCTGTATATCAAATAAAAACGATTGTACAAACCTGATATTGGGCTGTCAGTTTTCTTGTGATAGCAGTTTCTACAACGTAAACGTTCTCTACGGTAGAGTCAGGAGATATGTTCAGTTGCAAGCCTGATACTACGTCGACTGAAAGTTTTGTTAATGCTACTTTGTCGTTGCCAACTCTTACTTCTTTTGATCCATAAACTCTGCTGGTAATAGGTGATAATACCTGAAAAAGAATCAATGTAATCTAGTACCAGTTTTTCAAAACATAGTGTATGATGCTTTCGAAAGTCGCATCTCCTTTAGTTTTCGAAACAGGTCAGCGCAAAAACCCATCTGTTACCAGAATCAACCACTGCGAGAATGTACAGCAGCTATCAGTTGGAACTGTGAAGATCTCCGTTGCGTTTGATAGCCCAGTCAGCCAAACATAGACAGCTGCTTCGTGCTTTTTGGCAGCTCATCAGAATGGTCTAGGCTTGTTCTCAGGTAGGACAACAAATGAAAGCAAAAAATCTGTCCTCAACCTAAGGAATAAGATCTATCGAAAAGCGCTATCTATCACGAGAATCGACTACCGGGTGGCTGCAGCTATCTGTTGAAACTGTAAAGATCTCAGGTCGCGACTGATAGCCCTGTAACCATTGTGACCGCTAGAGGCTGACGATTCTGGCGGTATAGTAGCTAGTTTTCTAACCATTCGGTTTCTTTGTCTTCTAGTAAACGATTAAATATACTGAGTCGACAAATCAAAAAGTGAGTTTATGAAGATGAAAGACACACACCTGTACTTCGGTTCTACCCATACTCCTTCCTTGAAGAATTCTACCATGCAAGCTGGCAATTCTTGGGTCACTGACTCTCAACCAAGGCAGTACCAGTTCGGTGATCCGTAGGCTAGTCCTTCTGTTGATGAGGTAGGTCGTTCTCCCAGATTCGTGATCGGTTGCGAAAAAGTGCGCGTATACGTCGACGGAAGTTTGTTGGTATCTGAAAAGTGTTAATGTGATCTTGCGTACTGATTTTATCGCAACTGAATCTGCAATATTCCTGAGAAACACCACGCCTATCTAATGTTATCTTCAAGACGGTTTTCGACTAATCAAACAGTTGAGTTTATGTTATGTTAGTATTTTCTAAAACCTGAAAAACAAAAACAAAACTGAAACAGCCCCAAAAGTCTTATTTCCGTCAAGCTTTACATTTTGTTCGAGTTTTTTTTTTGTTTTCGGTCCTTTTCCAGTGGTTGTCGAGGAACTCACAGCACAGTTTTTCTTCAATAACCAACCAACATGTTATGAGAAGAAGTTTTTTTATTCTTAGTTAAAGCTCGTTGATACTGAAGTCCTTGGAAAAAAGTAAATGTATGTATGTATGGTGTCTATAAGGAAACTGCTGTATCTGTAACTTCATGTGTCTATAAACTAGCCAAGTGAACGCTTTAACCGTACATATATAATTTATTAATGATTAAAGCAGTATTAGCTTTTAGGGGAAACGGAAAACGCCAACACAGACATTGGTTGGATCACATTTATCTAGAGAGAGAGAATTAATAAATTATATCCAAAATGATGACAATAGGAAACATCGCCCATCATTTCATAATTTTCTGAGAATGTGTTCCTCTGATTTTTAAGAGCTAATTACGTTAAATTGGCAGAAAAGTTGCAAAGTTAAACATAAGCTTTAGAGATTCAATGTATGTTAAAGATCGATTAGCAGTAACACTGAGGTTCCATACGACTAAAAACAAATTTCTTATCTATAAAAAAATAAGTTATTTACTTATCTACTAATTTGGTACAACATTCGTATTCAGACTAGCAAGGCGAACGTAGAAAATACCACTGACCAGACTCGAGGCTCAAAACACGTCGAAACTTTTTGATCTGACTGCTTCCGAGCCTAACACGAAAAACGAAACACGCCTGTCTTCAAAAAGCTTGCTGAAAGTTATAGTTTTGTTTTATTCGACACGAGTTTGTGTTTTGTTTTTATTTTGCCCGTTTAGAAGAAAACCGCCATGATATTGTTTCAATACCATAATATTAATCATCTAAAACACCATACAAGAGGTGAAAGTTACTTCGGGAATACTACAGGGATCAATTTTGAGACCATTAGTGCATAACTTGTATAAAATACTAACCTGAGACGGCAAACCGGCTTGTCGATAACGTTACCCATATCGTCGTTCCCTGCTGTCATTCCCCATCCGTAAGATCGCTTCTTCCTTTTACGCGTTTTCGTCGTACTGTAAATATATTCACACTATTTTATCGCCAGCCTAAGGACTGTTATTCTTAAAAAAATTGGTATTAAAACCTCGCAACTTGTGGGCTTCGAACCCATGATGTCTGAAACACACAATCACGATGACCATTGTCAAAACGTATCAAGCGTTTTGGGTAAACTACCATCCCGTCGTACATCAGCTAAGTGGTATCATTTTTGCAAATCTATACAGTATACAGGGTGATTCACAAGTCGTGACCAAAAATGAAACATCATATACATAACTGCATTTTAAGGGGGTCTTATATGTAACATTTTTATCCTCGATGGCTTCATTAAAAAGATAGATGTTGAAGTTTAAGAATAAAAAACTATTTTTCAAAATATTTTTAAAGGTAAAATTAAAAAATTGCGCGTTTAAAAAGAAGTGGCGTACTATTTTCAATTGAAAAGATAATGCCACAAATTCCCTGTGTCCCCGCCACTGGTGCAAGTTAATTTTAAGCTAAGGCTTTTGAATCTGGACAATACTAAGGTTAATCCACGTACCAAATTTTAGTTCATTCCAGTTGACGGTTTTGAAGATATAAAAAAAATTGTTCTTTATTTTTAAACTTCAAGAATAATAGAATAATAATTTCAAGTTGTGACTGTAGAATACAAATTATAAAAAAGGTCAAGAATAAGTCACAGGGGATTATGCATTTACTTGATGTTCGCATTTATGAGTTTATAAATTTCAGTCCTAGATATACAGGGTGTTCAAAAATTAGACGAAGATATTTTAGGGGGTGATCCCTTGTTAAAAAAATACGAAAAAAGTTACTATAAACATGGGTCCGAAAATGAAGTTTTAAGATAAATAAAAAAAATCAATATCTTAAAAAATATTTACTCGATTCTGTTGAAATTTGGCAATATCATTTGCTGTGTAAAGAGGCTAATTTAGCCCTAAACAGTTTAAAATTATTAGGTCCAGTGGCGTACCGGGGGGCACCTTAGCGAATATTATTGACAAAAAACTGTACGCCACTGCCTTTTTGTAACTTACATGTTTGTTGTTTGATTGAGCATCTAAAAATACATCTTCTTTGCGTCTTGTATTTTTTTCGTATCTCACTTCATTTTCGAGAACAAAAATAAAAACCGTTTTATTGCATGTGACTGGACAAAATTGGTTTATTAATTTTTGTACAAAAAAACATTTCTGTATGGAGGTTTGAAATTCGTGCGACAGCCCTTCTCTAGAAAAGAATTATTCACGTAATCTTATTTGCGAAATTTCTATAAAGAGTTTAGATTTTTCCATATTTTTAACAAATAATCACCCTCCTAAATATATCCGACTATTTTTCGAACACCCTGTAGAATGTAGTCATTTCAAATTTCTCTTGAAGTAATTTTCGAAATATAAATCTTTTAAATCTTTAGGTATAATATCATAAAATTTTGGCGCTAAATAGAGATATGATCGATGTATTATAGATGTATGTCGCTGAAGAGCTACTGTTCCACGAATTTGTCCCTTGTATATGTTTTATTTTTTGGTCGGTGATAATGTTTCAGTTGTTTGAGCTTCCTTACGAAGATCTGGGCTTTTCATATTCTGGAGAGAATGGAGAAATATTTGTACAGCGGCATGACACATAGCGCTTAGTGCGCTTCGTCACAGGTCACCGTGCTTCAGTGATTGAAGGACCCGCCTAGTATTTCGATATCGTGGATTTGTAGTCTTTGGGTTTTTTAATTTAGATTTAACAATAACTCTTAAATAAGTATATCATTACCTAGGATGGTAATCAGGTACTCTCCAAGACTTGAGTTGTGATAGTCTTGTATCAGCCACAGCCAGTTCCAAAGGAAATTCGGGCATCCACACGATGAATTTGGCAATCCCTGTGTAGGTGCCGTACTTCACTATAACCGAACCATTTATCGAACCTCGAGCTTCGCTGCCGTCCACGTATACTGATCCACAAGATGATGATACCTAAAAAAAAATATCCAGTTAAGTAGGTTGACACACGTACTGATAATCCACCATGTTTGACTGGTCGAATCAGACCATTCATTTGGAACCCTCTCACCACGGATTTATCGAAACCACTGACTTAAAGAAAAAACGCCGAGACACGTTAAAAGATTTGTCGATGGGGACAACTTTTTAACCAAAAACTACCTCACCCCATTTCACCCTCTGCCCCCAGGGTCCTCCCCTTAAAAAGTTTAAATGACAAAGGGTATCGAGTAAAAGCTTATTTGAAAGGTCTTTAGAAGTCCTTTATTTTGACGTTTGATTTTTCAAAATCGGTTGATTCGTTATCAAGAAAATTAGAAAAATCTTTATTTACCTCTATTTGTTCAGATCGAATCACTTTTTATTTTAATAGGTGTTCAAAATGTTGGCCGTTATTCTCCAAACAATGATATAGGCGATGTTCAAATTCCTGACGGACACAACACATTTCAAATGGCTCCATAGAAAAAAGTCTAATGACGCCAAATCAGGAGATCTAGCAGGCCATTCTATAGGCCCTCTTCGCCCTATCCATTTATCTCGAAACTCGTCGTCTACCATTGCCGAACCGGAAAAACATAGTGAGGAGGAGCGCCGTCTTGCTGGAAATATATTTCAGTCTCATCAAGTATAGGGTTTCCATCCTCTTCGATTTGGTTTTCAATGGTTTCAGTGATAAGCGATTTGATGGTGTTTTCCAACATATCCAAATAAATGTCTCCATTCAAATTTCCATTAATAAACAATGGCCCAATCACTTTGTTTCCTAAAATGCCTGCCCATACATTAATTTTTTTGGGGTTACCTACTGGGCATGTCCTTCTACAAATGCATGGGAATTTCCATTGCTCCAATACCTGCTGTTATGCTTATTAACAAATCCATTTATATAAAATGTGCATTCATCAATAAAGCAGATATTTTTTACATGAATGGTATTATCACTAATCGCTGCAGCCATTTGTTTACAAAAATCAACTCGCCTATCGAATCATCTTCGGCTAACTCTTGCAATATTTTCATTTTGAATGGATGAAATTTATGGAGTTTAGTAACTATGTGTACAAAGCCTAATGAGCAACAGCAACAATTTTGCGTAATGAAGCATTAGGATTTATTGCAAAATGACCCAAAACTTCAACTACTGTGACTTCATTCAAAACTCTCCTATGATCATGTTTTTTTTTGCAACTGATCCAGTTTGAATAAATATATACTAAGTGACATATAAATCCGAACACCCAGTTTAAATGGTTTTATTTTAATAAAATTTTGTATAAGTACTTAATGAAGCATAATAAGTAAATGATAAAAATTTCAAAATGATTGCACTGCTTTAAAGCCCTTTGACCTTTAATAATGTGTGGATGCACCCTGATGTGCTACGCATTCTCCAACGCGCCTAGGCATGCTTCTGATCAGGTGGTCAATGTCCTCCTGTGGTATCTCATTCCAGGCAACCACCAACTCCTCTCGAAGTGCTTCTAGAGTCTGAGGAAAGTTGGATCTGCCAGGGTGTCAAGATAGGGTAAAAGATGGGGTTCTAGAACTTCGTGGATGTAACGCTGCGCGTTCATGTTACCTCTGATGAAGATTAAAGGTGACCTGGAACCATAAGCTATAGCACCCCAAACCATAACTCCAACACTGTGATGAACATGTCTTTCAACAAAAAACTGTGGATTCCTCCTTACACCACGTCGCCTTTTAACCCTGGCACGACCATCGTGCATGCCTAAACAAAATCGAGACTCGTCACTAAAGACAATACTGTTCCATTCCTGATCCCAGAGTGACCGTTGTCTGCACCACTCAAGGCGATTACGTCGGTGTTCTCGAGTTAAAGGGAGGACCCAGTGTGGCCGGTATGAAAACAAGCCAAAACTTCTCATTCGCCGGTAAACACTTCGCATGCCAATAAGTCTTCCGTGTTCTGCAAACCATTCATTTGCAATGGACCTGATAGTGGAGAAACGGTCCCTTAAGGTAAATAATCTTAGGCGGCGATCTTTACGGTCTGTTGTTCTACGGAGGCGTCCAGCGCCCCTTGCTCTTTGCGTACGGCCTTCTCGAAGCCATGCCTGACAACACCTAACCACAGTGTCTACACTTCTTTGCACTCTAACTGCAATTGCCAGAAAAGAAAGTCCAGCTTCCCGAAGTCCCACTATACGGCCCCTATCAAACTCACTAAGTTGACGAAATCGTACAGGTCTCCGTACTCTAGGCATCGTAACCGATCGTAAAGGATGTCAAGAACCAAAATCCGCCAACGTTGATCCTTTACTGCGGCTGAAGTATTCATTTTTAGAGCGTTAGTGAATTAAAAAAAGCAGTATAAAAACCAACTGATAAGGCTGAAAATTTGTTCACTTGTTATTTAGAGTAAGATAAATACACTCACCAACTTTTATTAAAATAAAACCATTTAAACTGGGTGTTCGGATTTATATGTCACTTAGTATAGTAACAAGGTCCGAAACATACTTATGCGAAGTTATCTTCCCCGAATGTCTGGCGTTAAACGTGACTGCAGTTTACCGAGCACATTGATTTTGGTCACCATAAATTAGAATGATTTCCACTCTTTCGACTAGTGTGTAAACCATTTTGGAAGTAAAACCTGTATCATTAAATTAATTTTCACTATCCCAAGATTGTCACAAAGGTAACTGAAAGCAAATTGAATTCTTTCTTTCCCTTAGCAACAAATAACTAAACAGGTATAACAATAAATACAGTTCGCCCAGGATATCTGTGTTGATGAAAAGAGTGCGGAAAAAATTCGGGTTTTATTTGGTTGTCGCCACGTCTAATCTTCAGAATTGCTGTTTATGTTGGTAGTTTCCGTTTAAAATTATAAGCGAATTGTAGATTTGACAAACCCCGACGGGCAACATTTTGAAAACTTATTGGAATAAAACGGGATATTTTCGAGTATTTCGTTTGAAAAAATTTAGATAAATAAAGATTTTTCTAATTTTCTCGAAAACGAATCGACCGATTTTAAAAAATCAAACGTCAAAATAAAGAACTTCAAATGTCCTTTCAAACAAGTTATTACTCAATACCCCGTGTCATCTAAAAATTTTAACGGAATGACCTTGGGGGCCGAGGCTGAAAGGGGGTGAAGTAGTTTTTGGTTAAAAAGTTGTCACCTTGACAAATCTTTTGACGTGTCTCGGCGTTTTTTCTTTTAATGAGTGGTTTTCGATAAATCCGTGGTGGAACGTTTTCAAATGTCCAAAATTCCTCACCTGCGCAGCAGATTCGAGAAACAAACAATACGATTTCGAATAAGATTTGCATCTACTCCTGAGGTTTATAACATGAACAGCAATGAAGAATGAAACTGAGCATTTACAAAAAAAATTCTACTACATCTTAATAAGGCGGTGAATTTGAGAACGCAAAATATAGTCTAGTATATGTAGACTTTTTGAACCGACCCCTGCAAAAAATATCGATTTGGGCTCAAAAATCATACCTCAAATTCAAGGTTCGTTTTTATTATTTGATGGTAATTCCCTTAAAAGTGAGATTTGGTAATCTATGTGTCTCAATACTTTTCTCGCATGGGAGGGGAGGTTAAAAAGATCACAGGGCAAATGTTTTAGAATGCACATTTATAAAAATAATATCTTACCTTTAAAACGCTCTCATCTTCCGAATGACAAGATGCCTGAAAAGTAACGTCCGCCGCTTTTCCCGCTTGAGATACGATGAATACTTTCATTGCTTGAGACACTTGCAGACCTGTCAGTACAGCTGTGTTCATTACTTCCCAATTCTAAAAGAAAAAAAGTCAAACTATCAAATAATTGATATCAAAGATTAATTTCATCAAATGTTTAGCGTAATGTATACTTGCGATTACATATTTCTTAAAACTATCTTTTTTTTTACCATTAAAAAAAAACTAGAAATATTTTTTCGATCGGAAATATGCCGCGTTATGCTCCTTAACCTTTAAACGATATTTGAGAACTTGGGAGCTTCAACATCGTATAAGACGAAATATTTCTAATCGGAAAAAGATTTGATTTTAATTTTATTTAAATCGTCATTTTGCGGTTTCAGCCACATTGGATTTAGGATGACGCCGTTTTGCTTATTCGTTTTTCCTCCTCTAGACCTTTCGCCATTACTATGAAAATGATAAATCGCCATTTTGTATCATCCGCTATATCGGATTCAAAAAGCGTGTATATTAAATTTCAGCTCAATTGGTTAAGGCCAAAATTCAGTTCCAAGATTTGTCCCACACATACGAGCCCCTTCCCACTTCAGTTGTCCCCACTATTGAAATCTTATTTTTTTTCTTATCAACCACAAATAATAAAAATGTAGCAGGGTTTTATAGGTTTAAAATATTAACAATGAATATTTTGGTAATATATAGTAGAAGACACCAACTTTATCACTCCCTAATCAAATTTGCACCATAAAAATAACACATGCTGCAATTACAGCATATCAACCTATTTGCATTTCAATGCAAAATAAGTAGGTGGCTGTGAAAAATAAAAGCCAAGGCATTTTTTTTTATTAATCACAGCTGTCAGAATACGTTTAAAATAGTTTTGGGTAGTTGAGGTTTTCAAAATGGGTAGAGGAATGGTTATTAGTGAGAAAATTCGGTTACTGATAATTAAATTTTTTAATTCTGGGAAATCAAACTCAGAAATTGCAACTTTGTTAGACTTATCGCGGTACAGTTGTTAGAAGATATAACGTAGGTAACTGGTTCAGTTAATATTAAGCCACGATATGTGAAAAAAGTAATATCACAAATGCCGACCGAAGAGCATTAAGAAGAATAATCGTGAAAAACACTATGCCCCAAAGAATTTCAGCCGTAATAAAAAATAAAGGTGATGTTACCCAATGGTAATCTTTCAATTGTTGCTTTGTTAACTTCGCGCATTTATTCGCACAGTGTTTATTTGTTCAGATGGTCTATTAGTTATAGGTTTAAGTGATTTCAAATATGTATTTTTTACGACTAGAGTGTATTTAAAATGTATTTGAGAAAATAAATTGTTTTAGGAGTAAATAGTTTCGTCATGTTTAGTTTATAAGGGCATATTTTGGTACAAATCTTGAAGTGGGCCAACTGAAGTGGGAAGGGGCTCGTACATACAATCTGACTTTTTATTGATTCGGCGCTATAAGAAGCCAGTTTTGGACGACTTAAATATAAATACCAACCTTGCTGATAGGAACAACGGCTTGGATATCATCCTTTTGAATTTCGAACCACGTGGTGGATTTCCTGCCTTCAGTTTTGTGCGAGTCCACAATGTCAATATCGTCCTGGTGAGGTTCGAACCTCGCCGTCCACACGATTTTGCTGCCGTCGTAGCTCTCGATTGCGTCTTCGGTTATTTCGATCAGCCAGGTGAATAGCTCCGTACCACTGAAATTATCGTGATGTTCGTTCAATGAGCTATTAAGAGCTAAATTCTAATCATATGATAAATTGTCTGCATTTTGTATTGGAAGAAAGGTAATCAGCTAAGTTCATTGCACTCAGATTCCATTGGCTCCCTTGCACACTACCTCAGATGATACGACCCAATGGAGTTTCCCCTTATGTGGCCCATAGGAGACCAACATTCCTCCAGAATGAACTATCGTATTGTTAGGACAGTTAGACAGTAGCAAGGCAAGAGTTCAACTGTCTTATCCTGTCTCTTATTATAGAGGTACTTCCCTAGTTGGCAGTGCCCAGTCACAATGCCAGTAGCAAATCGATTATGTTATTTTCAGGACATAGACAGATAGTATTTCGCTATTTTATTACTAGGATATCTGAGGAAGGTCTACAATCAATAGCCAGAGGATAATCATGAAATTCACAGGAACTTAAAATGGCCAGGAATAGACAAAGCACGATTAATGTAATTTTGTCTCAGATCATAAAATTTTGTTATTTGAATTCTAAGGGATGTGTGTGAGTGTGTACATAATTGATACTCACTATTCTGCAGCATCAGTTGTATCAGGGTCAGGGGGCTCTTTTCTCACTAAGGTCACAATTGCGCTGGTATGACGTGGATTCAGTTCAACTGTAATGTTCCAAGATGGTGAACCTGATGGTACTGCTTCCAAAATTCTCACTCCACTTTTGACTCTGGCCCTAAAAAGAAAATAAAAATATGCTAGGAAAAATGACAACGATTTTTGAAAGACAGATGTTATGTATTTAATGTAAACATTTATTGACGCCCAAAATGCAATAAATACAAAATTTCACGACAGCCCATAGAGTAAGACTAAAATTCAGAGTAGGCATTAGGTAGTCTCCGGCAGGGGTATTATGTAAAAAACGTTAAAAAAAAACCGTCAAAAAGTCATCTTGCAGAGTAGGTAGCTTTTAGTGTGCAAATAATTCATTCCATGTTTGCTCGCTATGATCGCTGAGAGCGTCATTCAAAGCATCCATCTATGGAGGAATGATTGAACCACACGACTTGCATTGTTGGTTGCAGACAGCCGAGCAATATGTAGTGTTTATCTCAGAGAAAATGTAAAAGAAAGAAGATTGGTTGGGTAGCAAGATCGCATCTGGATACTTATGTGTACTGGGCTGCATGTGTATAAAATCAGTGGTATTTGCTATGTGAGAAAATTATAATTGAATATGCCAATGAAGTATATCTATTAGCTGTGCCTGACGGGTTATTTATATGTTGTTCTTACTGAAGAGCGGTTAGCCAATAGTAGTAACTTTTTTACGTTTCATAGATATTTTTGTCTGTAACATATTTTCTCACCTGTTACTTGTAATATACTTGTACTTCACCAACCAGGGATTTTCTTTTCTTATGTTATTTTTGAAATTCAGCAAGTTTGTATACGTAATTTCCAGAATAAATAAGAAAAAGTGGATGCGCAACTAATTTCTAGCTACAACAGCTAGTGCTAAGTTAACATCTGATAGAAAAACTAATGTTATGTCACAAAAAACCTACAAAATGTCAAAAAATTTCAAAATGTCACTTTTCAAGATATGCAATAGCCATGCGGCACGGGTATTACGGAGCTTGAAAAGTGACATTATGTCGATTGTTTTTGACATTATATTGGTTCTTTTTGTGATATTATGTAGGTTTTTCTACAAGATGTTGTGAACTCGTTTTGGAGTTGTACGTGTCATGATGCTTCAGTTATGAATGTTTGGCTCTGATGTGATGTAAAATCTGCTTCAGAGTTGTCATTGTTGAAGGTCTAAGCTGTTTGTTGTACACTATAGCTAGAAGGAAACGCCAGTGCATAGGTGCACAGCAAAGATTTGTGTGCTAATAATATGTGTTGATGATAATTCCCTTGGTTTCTTGTCTCAAATACACTTACTTTTTTCTTAGTCATTCTGGAAATTACATATGCAAATTTGCTGAATTCCAAAAATGAGAGAGATAGAAAAGAAAATCCCTGGTTGGTGAAGGAACAGGTGAGAAAATATGCTCCTTATAGGAGCTGCAGTGCCCCAGTATTTAGACATCTGCCTACGCAGTTGTTCGGTATATAAAATCAATAATTCAAAAACAATTATTGAAGTCATTTTCCGAGCACTTACCTGATGACAATGGCTGTGAGCATTTTAGCCTTTTGACGATCTACGTAAACGGGAAGGTGCATTTTTGAGAGTGGAAATAATGGTGGATGCGGTACCAGAAGAGCAATAGCATCAGTTAAACGTAGTTCCTTGTATGTCCCTCTGGCGGGTACCAAAGGCACACTCCCTAGAACCACAGATGGCTGGACCTGCGAAAATATTGAAGTGTGGAAGATCATCTTAAACTTTAGAGGGTGGAAAATCCGAATTCATTTAACGTATGGAGAGAGAGAATAAGATGGCGACATCTGAACTACATATTATAGAACATAAAATAATCTCACATATTTTTCCAGATAAATCTCCTACGAGGCTCTAGGCCCGATTTTACAAATGAGAAAAAATATACGATTTGTGTGAGACAATCAAGAAATACTCCATTTATCTCATGATTCAGCTACAACAACCTATTTTTCATTTGTGTCCGGACACAAAAATTGACGCAAATTCAATCAATCGAAAAGGATTTGTGGCGTACCCGAAACATAGATAGACCTGATACAATAGATTGACATGACGCTGTAAAATTCTTCTTGATAAATTCTTTGTGGGCATAAATCAAATTACAGAATAATTATTCACCAACAAACAAACAGAAACTAATCAATTTACTTACCTAGTGTTAACACGAAGATGTCGCGCACTCTACTGGACGGTAGGACGTCTATACGACCACGTTGCGTTGCGATCACGGTGACAAGACTAGAAGTAGTTGTCCTACTGCCCAGTAGAGAGCACAATAATTTCCTATTAACAGTGCCTTTACTGGGCAATAATACGACATCTACTTCTAGCCCTGTCACCGTCACCGCGACGTAGAGTGGTTGTATAGTCGTCCTTCCCACAAGTATAGTGCGAGACATATTCCTGTTAACAGTAAGTAAATTGATTAGTTACTCGATGTGTGTAAGTATGCTGTAATTTTATTTATGCCCCATAAGAATGTATCAAGCAGAATTTTGTACCGCAACAGTGATACACTCTTATTTTCAATAAAATGCAAATTTAATTGCTCTTATATTAATCTAGATATTCTATCAGATTTGTGCCCCGGCTTGGAGTACCGCCCAAATGCTTATTTTTCAATGGTGCATTATGAGATGATGGCCGCTAGTTTAGTGTCCGAAAGCAAGTGAAAGAATCAGTTTTTATAGATAAACCAAGTATTTCTTGATTTAAAATGGGAATTGGGTGCTCATCTAACACAAATCGTATAATTTTTCTCCAGTTTGAGAGACAGAAATCAACTATATTCTTTAGATCAATTATTTCAAAGATGCCTTCTCATTGTTAAATTTTTTTGAGCCCCGGCTAATGACGCTACTGGAAATCGGTTTTTCTTGGGGGCTCACATGATTTAGGGCATTTTTATGGGGACTTGAATATAGTATGGAGGGTTTAAATTTTTGCTAACAAGGGAAGACGCGATATCTTTTGATATGTGCTGCTACAGTTTTGCTATTGCTATTGGTGGTATCCATGCTGCTGGTCCTCCTGATCCAACTGGTGATACCGCTTTTTTTCAATGACCGCAAAATTTCCCCACGCCCATCCTCTCCAACGGCGTATCCAGGATTTGTGCCTGCGAGGGGGTCACACTTACACCGGTCAAAAAATTTCATGTTCAGGAAGATGACGTTCTTCTCGTCTTCGGAGGGGGGGGGGGGTACATCAGTGCCTCTGACATAAAAGAAAAACTTGACTGGCGGAAGGATGGCAGATGACAACCCTACCCTTGTACCCTTAGCGTACAGCCTAAAAGTGATTAAAATATTAAATCTAATTTAAAAATGAACAATTTATTGTTAAATAATAAAATTAATTCTTCTTTTTTGTCTTCCTGCGAATCGATTAATATTAATACGTATACTTACCATCTCCTTTGAATCCAGTGCAACAACTTTTTTGTGGTTATGTCCATCAGTGGGGGATTTAAGAAATGGCAAAATGGACATTACCGCCTGGGCCTCCCTAAGAAGGGTGGTCACAGCCCCCCCCCGCAAAAATCAGCTCTAGTGTCTATATTGTTCAGCGCGTCTGAATGTAAAATTGATAACAAGAAATCAGAGTGTTGTTAAATTCTTTTAATGACCATTTGCGTAATTTTTATGAAACAGCGTGTTAGCATTCAGTTTGAATAAGAAAATTTCCCTTTCATTTCTTAAGACATTTTTTGAAAAATTTCCGAATGACCCTTTTATTTCTCAAGGAGTAGAGTGGTTATTTTTTCATTTTGTGCTTACAGTGATATATTATTACCTATAATGTTCAGTAAATAAATATCTCCGTGGTATGAATCAGCCTCTTTCAGTCTAATAAATACTCTAATGCGTCTATTACAGTCTTTTCACGTCTTCAGTGCTTATAACCATAAACTTTCACAATGATGTGAATTTTTTTATTTGATGAAATATCTATTTTCTTCGTGATAATATCGTGGAATAAATTTTTTGAATGAATTATCAATTGCATAGAAGAGGAAATTTCAAGAGTAGGAGATTCTGGCGAAGATATAATGAATTCAAGATCTCTCTTTTCCTCCATGAACTGGAGCTTTTTCGTCAATTTGTTATGGTGGCATTCAGTATCGAGCGTAATGAATACTGTGTAAGTTCAAATGCAAAAGAAAGAAATAGACTTGATGATGGCTCAAAGGTGCATTTCAGCAGCATTAAAGAAATTAAAAGATTTGAGGAGCGAAAGCACATACGATAATTTTGTTCTGAAGGTTAAGAATAAACGGGAAGAGATGGAATGGGAATCCCATTGTCAGAAAAAGGAAAATCAAAAAAATGTTCGACGAAAAAGCTGCTGACACGCCACTGGAAACACACGAAAAACATCGAATAAGTTACTACGAAGTTTTGGATTCAATGAGTAATGAATTGCAAGAACGTACTGAAGGATTTCGTGAAGTGAATGATGTGTTTGGTTTTTTGACGCCAGAGAAATTAGTCAATCTAAAAGAAAACGAATTGGAAACAAGCGTCACTAATTTGGTAGACAAATATTCGGAATTCTTCACTACAGATCTAAGATATGAATTAGCCAGTTTTACGTGCATGTATTTTTCGCAAAATCGTAATTTTACTAATGACAGCCCGCTAGATTATTTGAAGTTCATGATTGCAAACAATTTTATAGACAGTTTTTCAGAGAGCTGCAGATTATTCAGATTGTTTTTGACTTTGCCTATCGGTTCAGCTAGTGCTGAACGTGTCATGAGCTCTTTGAAAATTAATAATGACATACTCAGCAACTTCTCTATCCTCTATATCGAAAGATCAGTAGCTAATACACTCAATTTGGATTCTGCGATGGAAATTTTTGATCTCACAGTCTCCACTTGATTCAGGTTATATAGACATATAGTGAAAAAACAGAGGTAACAGTGCGCAGCAGCTACTATTGTACATATAATTATAAGCCCCTGTTAATATCTGACATCCTTATTGCCACCAAAATCTGTAGTTCGAACTTTATCTGAATAATTTAAAGGGATAACTCGTTATCGAATAATTTTAGATCGGCGTGAATATTGAAACAGTTGAATTAGCTGTTATATTGACACGTTGAAGCAGCATCAGATTAACTTTTTATTAAATGCAAAAACCAGGCTGATGTACGATTGCAGTATCCTAACATTACGCATTAAATTTTGATATTAATTTCTGAGTTATCATTCGACTTTCAAAGTTTCCATTGCCGTAAAACAGTTATAGTGCCGTCTGCCCCCGATCATACCACTGGGCTCCCCCAGTGCATATTGCCGACCGGGCCCTTTTCCTTAAATCCGCCACTGGTACGTCAAAAAGTATTTTTTATCAAATTTGCTCACAGCTTGAGCGCGCGCGAAGAAGTTTTTCCTACATCAAGCTTACCGCATAAGCAACCATTCTTGCGCTATCATCTATGAGCTTACAGTTAAATCAAAGTTGACGGATGCAGTGCTGCAAGTGTTTAGTAGAAAATACCAGTACAACATCCATTTAATATGTGTGCATTGATTTGATTTGTAACCTTAAAAATTGGTGGTCGAACTAAATTCGTCTGGGGAGGTCATGAACCCCAAGACCCCCCCCTGGATCGGCGCCTGTCCTCTACTAGCTTGTATCATTATTCTGGTGTGTGCTATATGTATTCGAGAGATTGTCAACCTATTCTGGGACACCCTATATTTTATATAGGCATTTTTGCTTCAAGGTTCATACCTGGACTTTCGGATGACACCCTTCGCCTTCATCTGGCCATGGCTCTAGGACCGAGTAGGCAATCTGGACCAGTCGAGGTGGTGTCTTGACCAGCTTTCCTACTACGCCCTCTTTATTAGGTGATGGAAGCGGTGGCCACCAAGAGGATGGAACTGTTACCTGTAAAATAAATTACACTGACTAGTCTAATCATATTACACGAAAATACCCCGGGTTGGCGAAATAATTGTAAAGTCTGATTTTATTGCTGCAAGTTGTTCAAGGGGGTATTCAAAAAAAACATGGACGCATAAAATGGGTTCACAAATTTTTGAGGAAAACTTTTTATTCGACGAAAGTATTAGCGAACGAAAAAACTCTTCATATAAGATTTTTAGGTATTTATGAGATAACTCTTAAAAAGATCCGACTAATAGTAAAAAAAGTTATGGCCGAAAACCGAGGCAAACTGTACGTTTTGGCGCTTGTTGATAATGCGACGGTGGTTTCTCGCAAATATTTGAAATTCTTTAAATTGGTAGGATTTGTACTTCTTAATAACCACAACAAAATTAGATTATATTGGTCAAGTAGTTTTTGAGGATTTCCAATTGTTTACCCCAAAACACCTGTTTTACGGCCATCACTAATAGTTTATTGAGGAATATACAGGGTTAGTTCAAAGGGCATTTTATAGCAAAATACACCAGTTTACGTTGCCGATATGAATCGCAAACCATTCCGGAAGACAAATGTTATTTTTATGCGAAAAAGGATGGGTTACGTTTTTTCTTCTAAACAAATTCAAACATTTCGTATTTGTGAGCAATTCGCAACAAAAGATGATAGGCGCATCCGCTTTGTTTCAAAATGTATGTTTTTCGTACATCGTAGCGCATTTGTTCAATTACTCACAAATACGAAGTGTTTGAATTTGTATAGAAGAAAAAAATGTAACCCTTGCTTTCCCCATAAAATAATATTTATTTTTCGGAATGGTTTGTGATTCATATCGGCAAGGTAAACACGTGTATTTTGCTATTAAAAGCTCTTTGAGCGGATCCTGTATATTGCTCAATAAATTAGTAGTGATGGCCGGAAAACAGGTGTTTTGGCATAAACAATTAGAGATTCTCAAAAAACTACTTGACCAACATAATCTAATTTTGTTGTTGTTATTTGGAAGTATGAATTCTACGGATTTAAAAAATTTCAAGTAGTTGCGTGAAATTATCGTCGCATTACCAATAAATGCTAAAACCTGCATTTTGCCTCGTTTTTCGGCCATAGCATTTTTGATATTAGTCGGCTCTTTTTAGCTGTGGTCTCATTTTGTAGGTCTCATAAATACCTAAAAATCTTATGTAAAACGTTTTTTCGTTCCTGTAAACACTTTGGATTGAATCCCAAAAAACACGTTTTATATACTGATAATGACTTATTGGTCTGCTTTTCAAGAATCTATATGGCACATACCGACAAACATTTCTTTTGACGAAAACTGTTACCTCGTGATCAAGTATTTGAAAGTAAACCAGGAGGAGATGTTGCTGCAGAATATTACATCATCAAACTTAGGAAGGGCTTGGAGGCAACAAATGGACTGATTTGCTACGATTTTAAGGTCAGTGATCGCTACCACGAGAAAGCCGAAGAAAAGGTGCTATAGAGACCCTACACTGCACTATGAAGAGTACGATCAACGATACCATTTACCGCATCAGCAAGCCTTCCTCACAAACTTGCACCGTTCAGGAAATGCACGCATTGCCAGTATCGGAGCAGTAATTAGAAAACACCATGGACATCTAGTGGCAGCACAAAGAAGCGATTTGGAGCAACCAAAGAGGAACACCAATACTTATTCCTGCGACCCAAATACCCGGATACTGCGTTCCCGAAGACTTGACCGCACCAGGCATTGCAAGATTTCTGGAGTCGTTCGGATCTATTGAAGAGCGACATAAGATCCCCCATCTATCAAGGCTATGTCAAAGCAAATATCACATTCAAATTCCTTTATTTTCCTCCTGTAGATCTTATAAAATATATAGGAATGGTCAATACAAACTTAAAACTAGGAACAAAATAGTAGTAAATCAACAGTAAAACAAGACATGACAACAAAACAAATTTTATACAAATAAAACATTAAAAAAGCCTGTCAGAGAAGAACTCTTCAATAGTACAAACACACTGATCAATCAGAAGTTTGAAGGACTTTACATTTGCTTGTGACTCTACCCTATCAGGAAAACTTTTAAAAAAAATTATGACTAAGTAATTTGAGAGATTTGGCTGTGTTGATAGTTATAAATAGATAAATTTAATTGATTGTTTATTCTGGCAAATTCTACGTGTCAATATCACTGTTTACAATACATGAGTGGCTATTTCTAGTATATAAAAAGTCAATGTCAGTAATCCAGAATTTTCAAATAGCTCTCTACAAGAGTGGTGGTTACAAACATTTCAAAACTTTTTACAATCTTTTTTTGAGATACAAACTCTTCATTTAGTATTCGTTATCTAGATTAGATGATTCAACTGCTTCAGCAGAGAAGTGAAAAGAATAATTGGAGAAAAACACTTACAGCCCATTTGCTATTCGAAGTTGAATAATAAGTGTGTCAACGTCTTCCGCAATTTGCAGCATTCGGGGGTGTTCTGGTCTTCTACTATATCCACCTCGCTATTCCTTTGTACGAAATAAACCTACTCGGCGCGGGATGGAAACCTCCAGGAAAACGATCTGAATATACTCGCGAAGCAAAAACAGTGTCTTGAAGACACTGACCGTAAAATAACATCATCTCGGCAATTTTTGTACTTCTATAGGAATGTGCCATTTGCGGATTTCTAAAATCCGATTTATAAACAACCAGCTCGGTTTACCTACATGGCACGTGTCACCTGGGTTAGGTACTGTCAAGCGTCGTATCTTTTCACATTTGCTGGAACCATGAACGGATTTGACATCGCACATTTCTTCGGACCCCATTAGGAAAATATGATTATTCTTACAAGAACTATACGCTGTATGAAGAAAGGTCCCAACTTTAAGAAAACCTTGTATAACATTTACCTCGGCCAAGCAGACTCCATCCTCTCCATCGGGACTGCAAGCGGCATGTAGTGGTGTCTTGCCCTGCATGGACGCCCTGAGTACCACGCACACCTTCTGGTGGTGCCTGGCGAGCAGTACCTGCCTCCTGCCGCCCGGGTCGGTGCCAGCATGGAAGAGTACCCTCAGCACCGGGGAGTCCCGTGGGACTTCGCTGCGGACGATGTGGGCAGAGATGTCCAGGTGGTGCGCCGAGTGGTCGTGGAGATCGATCGTCGGACCTGTAAAAATTCATGGCATAAGGAAGAACATCATGTAGAGATCTGTTTAAGTGTTTAAGAGATTCAGAGTACTAACACTTACTAATTTATACAGGGTGTTTCAGAACTATGGGATCGAACTTGTAGGAGTTATTCAGTGTAACAGTAGAAAACATTTGAGTTAAGGGCCCCATATCCGGCGCTTGTGTGTTGTTATCTTTAAAAACGATAACAGATATTGTTTTTTGTAGCTGCATTCCATATCGCCTTAGTCGTGCTGACGTATTTGTGAAGTTTGCAAGAATTTAACAAAAATTAATGGTTGCTAATGGAAAACTTTACCAATCAAGAATTGGCAGATATCCATTTGGCATACGGAGCAACAAGCTGCAATGCACGAGCAGCAGCGCGGTTGTATCAAGAACGTTATCCCGAACGACAGTATCCGGGATACAAAAAGTTTATTGCTATTCATCGGCGGCTCTCCGAGACAGGCATGTTTAAAAACAACAGGCATGATACTGGTGTTGCTCTAACCGTAAGAACGGTCGAATTTGAAGAAGAGGTCCTTCAGCGAGTTGCAGACGAACCGTCAAGTAGCACACGTCACATTGCTGATGATATGAACACGAGTACAGCTTCCGTCTGGCGGGTGCTACACGAGCAACAACTTTATCCTTACCACTTCCAGAAAGTTCAAGGATTGACTGCAGCCCATTATCATCCTAGAGTTCAATTTTGTCAATGGCTTCTTCATCAAATCGCTGCGCAACAAATTTTTTTACGCTGTTTTATGGACCGATGAAGCCTCTTTCACAAGAGACGGTATTTTTAATAGTAGCAATAGCCACGTTTGGGACAAAGAAAATACCCACGCAATTTTTCCAAGAAAACATCAGCAACGTTGTTCTGTCAACGTATGGGCAGGCATTGTTGATGATTATTTGATTGTGCCATACCTTCTACCCGAACGGCGTTTCTTACAGGAAGTTCTTTTAGAACTTCTTGAAAATGTTCCATTGAACGTTCGACTGCAAATGTGGTTTCAGCATGATGGAGCGCCGGCTCATTTTGCTGTACAAGTACGTGAGTATTTGGCTCAGCGGTTTGGGCACCATTGGATTGCCAGAGGTGGAGCAGTTTCTTGGCCTCCTAGGTCACCCGATTTAACGTCGCTAGTTTTTTTCCTGTGGGGACATGTAAAGGCTTTGGTTTACGAAACTCCAGTGGAGACAGAGCAAGACTTAATTGGACGAATTACAGCGGCATTTGAAATCATTCAAAACGGGTATAAAATTTTTAGTCAAGTCCGTCAAAATCATGTGCGACGTTTAAATCGGTGTATTCAGGTTGGAGGAAGACATTTTGAACAATTATTGTGATGATATCACGTACAAAAGGCAAACATTAAATGCATTAAAGCCTATTAAGACAATTCATCGTCTTTCTAAATTTTAACGCGTCTTATGGCCGTAGTGCCGTAGTGACACTTTTCCGGATATGGGTCCCTATACTCAAATGTTTTCTACTGTTACACTGAATAACCCCTAGAAGTTTTATCCCTTAGTTCACACCCTGTATAGATATATTGGAAACTTGTTTATACATATTTGAAAATAGAGAAACATTAAATTAAACGCATTAAATGAATACGGGGATTAGTGAAGACTTTTATATACCACCCTATAGAACTCAAATTATGTGCAAGCTTCATGGTGTGGAAGAATATTGTGATATATTCCGTTAAATCTATTTTTTACTATTTGACTGTTTTTTGTTAGATATAGGTTATTTTAGATTTGAAAATTAATGACAATTCCTATACAATGTTTTTTGTCGAGAGGAAATAAATAAATAACTAGTGATACATGCTTTCAAGATCAAGCAGTGCTAAAGATCCTCGTGATTGAGAATGATAAGCCTGGCCAGTTTGTTTAGCAGACCATTTAGGCGCGAAAGCAGAAACGTTTTTGAGTCGGTTAATATCAGAAGCTCAGTAGTTCGTAGCTCACCACCAATCCTTTCATTTTCTATTGTCATCCATCACCAGAACTCTTTGCGGCCTACTGGTGTTCCTGGGATTACCACTAATTCATAGTTACTGTACTTGGATCCTGAGGATATTCTGACGTTTCCAGGATAATTAGCGTATGTCTATGAGTAAGGCAATAAAATGACTATCCAACAAAATAGCTCGGAAGGTGGAAACAGCAGGTATAGTCACGCGCACCTTATGGAAACGTTCAACTTGCGATGTGGATCCTTGTTTCAATCGCAACAAAGTTTAATTTGCTGAACTCCATCAAATAGTGGGACGTTTTCGCTGTTCACTCATTTGACGCTAATAATGCTATTATAAGTAACTTTGATCTCGGTGTAAGTAGGTATAGTGCAAAAATAATAAGAACCGCTATTTTTTCTATTTTTTGCAACGCCTACATAAAAAAAATAAGAAAAAAATCATAAAAAACGCATTTTTCCATATAACCAAGAAATTAAAAAAGTAACATGTGATACATCGTTGAATTCATATAAAACATGCAATTAGAAACAGGGTTTACTTTTTTCGGACCATATAAAAAATAAAGTTGATGGTTTCTCAAAGACGAACCATCGGGCACAACATTTAAAAACACCTTCATGTAGCGCCAAAAAAGTTCCAATGGAAAAGTTTCATTAGTTTATTGATATTTGAAAAAAAAGTTAGAAAAAATAAAAAATTACTTGGGCAAATTTTAGTTTTCCACAAATATCTCAGTAAGCCATGAAATCGTTACAAGGAAGCTGTATCACCCACAGGTATTGAAATCCCCATACATAGGATCCTTATCTTGGACACCCTGTATAATATGTTACAACGCTATTACACAGCTAAGGTATATTCAGATAAGAGATAGACCGCATGTAAACAAAAGGTTCGGGTGATTTTCACGCTAACGCCGCCGTCTCGACGTAAAACAGGAGCCCTCATTGGTCAATTCGCAATTAAATGCCTATGCCGAGCGGCAGAGCAGTCGTATCAAGGCAGAGTCACATTCAGGTTCAGACGTGTTACGTATGTTGTGTGCATCATTGCAATTTGATATTTCTTTGGACGTTTTCGTTTGTTATCTTATTAAGTTGTTGAGTTTGTCGTTGTTATTGTTATACCTTGTTATTGATTGTTATTGTTATCAACTGCTTGCGCAAAATGCCCAGTAGTACAGATACTGCCGATGAAGTTGTAAACTCCTGTAGTCCACGTAGGAAACGCCCTAAAAAAAGACACCTGAGTCCATAAATGAAAGAGGTCATTTTGAATATATGTAAGATCGAGCGCGAGGAGAACGAGGCATCAACCATCAAAGAAATTGTTGTGAAGGTTTCTCACAAAGTTGGGGTGTGTCGCGCATCAGTGTTTAATGTGTTAAGACAATACAAGAAAAATCACACCTTTTCTGAGCCAGTGACCAGTAAACATCGCAAAAGTATTGTTAAATCATTGGATGAAGCTGATAAGCATGCGATTAGGAGGAAAGTGCATGAATTCTTCTTTAGGAATGAAATACCTACTATAGATAAAGTACTGCAGGAGGTAAATGGAGATACAACGTTGCCAAATTTCAAACGATCAACTTTCCATGCGTTACTGAAGCATTTAAATTTCAAATGGAAAAAACGGGGTCGTAATAGTTTACTACTGGATAGAGAAGAAATTGTGCTATGGAGGAGGGATTATTTAACAAAAATTGGGAAATATACATTTGAAAAAGGTTCGCTTATTGAAATAAATCTACACCAGTTAGTACTTCGATTTCCAGGTAAAGGGAAAAGGCTCATTATCTGCCATATTGGCAGTGAGGATGGATTTGTTGTTGACGGTCTGTGGTGCTTTGAGTCTAAGAAAACTGGAGATTACCACGAGGAAATGAATGGCGAATCGTTTGAACAGTGGTTTTCAAAAATTTTACCGAACTTAGAGGAAAACGCAGTAATTGTGTTGGATAATGCGCCTTATCATTCTCGAAGAATGGAGAAGGTCCCAACAACGGCTTCAAGGAAAGTTGATGTTCAAAATTGGCTCCGCTCGAAAAATATCAACTTTGAAGAAGCAATGCTGAAAGTACAATTATTAAGAATTGTCAAGGATCACAAGGCGGAATATCAAAAATACGCCATTGACGAAATGGCAGCAAGTCAAAATAAAACTGTGCTCCGTTTACCTCCATACCATTGCGAGCTCAATCCCATTGAGCTCATATGGGCAGAGGTTAAAAATTATATAGCTAAGCACAATACAACTTTTAAATTTTGTGACCTCAAAGGACTTTTCAAAGAAGCACTAGAATTAATAACAGCGCAAAAATGGGAAAACTGTATTAAGCACGTGAAAGACAAAGTTGAAAAGAGAATGAGGGAACTGGACAATATTTTAGAGGAACAAGTCGAGCCATTCATTATTGACGTTGGTGCTTCAAGCAGTAGCGATGATGAAAGCTCATCAAGCTCATCTTTCCAATAAAAGATGTCGTTCATCAGATTCGGTAAGTTATAAGTAATTATAAAGCTACTGTATTTTTTAATTAATTATTGACATTTTTGAACCCATTTTGGCAAAACCTATTCAAGAATCTACTTTCTGACAATGTTCAACCATGCACATTTTTTTACGTTTTGAACGTTTTAATTTGGTTACATATTTACCTAGAAATCAAAAAATATACTAATCAATATTCTAAAAGCAATTTTAAGAGATATACGATTATTTTTAATTTGGGCTAATTTAAACGCCATTTTGAGATTATATTCGACTGTATTTCACCAAACATCAGGCGGCATCCGAAGCTGGAAATCGAAGCGAAAATTTTGAAACCCTTATGTATATTTACATCATTATATATTTCTTACCCCACCCCCACATGATCCTATATCCATCACCAATCGTATACACATCGAATTGTGCTAATTTACTATAAAGTTACGCAAAGCAGCATCTACTATCTAAAATATGTACTGCGTGACTCTTAATACGTCCCTGCCGA